ATCTCCACTCTGAATGTCAGATGCTCACTGTTCAGCAACAAAAGGGCCTCCTTTCAGCCCAGTACCTTCTGCAGAGCCACCTCCCACAACAAGCCTCTTGCCAAATCACAAGACCGCACCCCAACCCTGCTACATTAGAGATGCTCATTTCACCAAATACATCAATGCCATTCAACCTTCACTCCCAACCAATATTAACACTGCCACTCTTAAAGCAGCTAGCAGCACTCTCCACTCCAACGCTGACTGAGCTGCCACGACTCGTACCACCTACCAGTGCTGCTCAGCGGCTGGCCTCCTCAGCTCCCAGCTATGGATAAATCTGAACAAACACTCCAAAGATTTTCAAAATGAACACTGGCACAACTTTGCTCCAGCCACTGTATACTCCTGAAGGGCTACAAAAGCAGAATCTATAGTAACACCAATAACCTGTGAAACTAGTACTGCCATCTCTTGTTGGATGATGTGCCACACCTCTTTGACTGCCCTAACAACCCATAACCCCTCAGCACCATAGACCTTTGGAGGGACCCAGCTGCAGTTGTTTTTTGGCTCCAGCCATGGCTGGACCAGTGACACCAGGATCGAATGCGGGGTAACAACAACAAACCAGAAATTTTTGTATTCATTTCATTTTTAATTTATTTAAGATTTAAACAAATATCTTATGTGTTGCAATGCTGAAACTTGAGAGGAGTCTAAAAACCTCAGGTTTGCCACCATACAACCAGGAATGTTCTGGTGCCCATGGCTGTAAAGCAAGGCTTTTTAGATCAAGATATTCCAGGCTGTTAAGCATGCACAACATTGGTCAAAGATGCTGATTCTATTGCACAAGAGGTACCAATGTATAAAAGAGGTGGATGCCACTGGACGTTATTGTCAATTATGCTTCTCCATAAATTGCAATCATCATGACCAATGTGCCATAATGATCTACATGCTATGTTTGTAACTACATGACATAGCACATAGTTCCAATGGTTCTGGGTTGAGATGGGGGTTCAGAGCCAGACAGACTAAATCATTAGTCTATAAACCTGAATTATGTGCTGTAGCAAGTACCCAACCCCAACCCAATTAACACGTTGACTCCAAAGTGGTACATATGCGTACCACAAAATGTATTTCTCCAGGAGGTAGTGGTACATGATTCAGGATGGCTAAAATCGGCCAAATCCGAGAACAAAAAAGGCTGATAACTCAATATATCTAGTTTATTTGTAGATTCGGCTATAAAAATTTCATTTATTTTCTTTTTGCAGTATTTAAAATTTAATTAGGAAGTACTCCTATCATAAATTTTAGCTGGCCAACGCAATTGAGAAAAACTCAATCACGGAATTTGTCCGGAAAAAGTGACCGTGTGGCAACCCTGCTTAAAAAAGTACAAAAAATGAAATAATAGTATACAAGATGAAGCAATCGTAGTCAGCGTGTTAAACCAAACCCAGCCCAGTGCAATCACTGTCCAACCCAAACAAGCCAACCCAACCCAGTTCAACTCAAATGAATTCAACTCAACCCAAAATCAGCCAAACCCAACCTGATTCAACCCAACCCAATTCAACCAAATCTAACTCAATTTAATAATACCAACTCAATTCAAACCAACCTGATTCAACCAAATTCAATTCATCCAAATCCAATTCAATTCAATCCAACCAGATTCAATGCAACAAAATTCAACTCAATCCAGTCCAGTTCAAGCCAACCTAATTTAGTAAAATTAAATACCTAGATTGCATTAGAATGTATTAAATTGCATTGAAACTCCTTAGAATGAATAAGATTGCATTAGAACACCTCAGAATATACTACATTGCATAGAATGCACGATAGAGTATTAAAATGCATTAGATCACAGTAAAATGCATTTTATCGCATTGGAATGCATTAGATTGCATTAAAATGCAATAAATAACATTAGAATGCATGAGATTGCATTAGAATGCAATAAATAACACTAGAATGCATAAGATTGCAATATTAGAATTTAGAATGCACTATAATGCATTAGAATCTAGTAGAACCATCATTTGCTTTCACAAGATTATGGTTTGAGCTAAAACAAATATTAGCAGTGGGTGCCCCAGACTTCTGCGCATTACTATCTGGTGACAGATACAAGCAATCATACAAGCTGAAGATACGCACAATGACGGCATGGCAGTGCTGATCAATGGATCCTTAGTTTATGCTCAATCATAGGCAATCAATCCATAGTTTATGATCAGTCATGGACAACACATTAAGGTCCAGGTGACTGATAGAGAGCTTGAAAAGACACCAATATATTGAGCTAAGAAATCCTACCCTTGAAGCCTGGGATAGTGGTGTCTTTTCAAGCTCTCCATCAGCCATCTCAACTCTAATCCATGATCAATCACAACTGTAACTGAAGCAATCAACAATGCTGCCATCACAATGTTGATTTCTTGTATGTTGCTTGCAATTGGGTCACCTCTGCCAAATGATTGTAATGCCCGTATGTTCATGCCAATCATCACACATTGGCTGCAATGATCACAATGTGCTTTTGTCCCCGCTAGTCATCATTCTTCAGCTGTAATAATTATAATGCCTTTATGTGTCCATGTCAATTTTTGTGCATTGGCTGTAATGATCATAATAAGTGTTTGTTTTTGCCAAACATGGGCATATATGCCAAATTAGTCATAAAACCTGAACCATGGAGAAGCATAATTGGCAACCACCATCCGCCTCAATCATACCTCGCAATCTTTGGGGCAATGGAGTTGGGGATACTTGACCTATGTTGTGCCATACTTAGTCAGGCTGTCATCAATGGTAGATGGATGTGTAGATGGTACAACAAAGTCTGCTGTTGATGACAATGCAGTTGGCTGAATGATGATGAATTACCTCATATCAGATTGTTAACAGACGTGCTTGATCAGGCCACAAGGTTCCAAATGCATCAATAATTTGTCACATTGGAGCCACAAGATTTTATTCATAAGTGGAAAAATTCCAATCCTGTTTGTAATCTTTTAGCATGATCATGCACTTTGATTAACAGTCAGACAGGAAGTAATTCATTTAGCAGCATTGCATAGCTCCAAAAATGGCACTAAAATTAAGTAAAAATATATTTATTCTCAAGATATAGTTTAAACATTTGATATCTATGCCTAATAATATTTGTAGGTACCTCGGATGTTTCACTGGTCAATCCATAAGATTCTGAAAGAAATATTCTAATAAATTTTTTTTGCTACAAATTTTGGAATATAAGTTAGAATTTCGAAAAAATTGCAGGTGCAAATGATTGTTTGCTAAGCAATTTTAAAAAATTTCAGGATGTAATGTATCATAATTTTTAACCCTCTACGCCCTGGCGCAGGGTTGGCAATGATTAAATCAAAATGATTAAATCATGTGATTAAATCACTTGATTTTTTTTATAAAAAAATCATGATTTTTTTTATTTTTTCTGTCGTGAACGCATAAATCAACGTACAGAGATGGTTTTGGTACCGTTGGATAGATCAGAATGTCAGCTTTAAGATGAGACTAAAAACCGGAAAAGCTGAAATCCAAAATTTTACCCTAGACGCTTCCCTTAAGCATGCACAACATAGGTCAAGGATGCTGATTCTATTGCACAAGAGATACCAAGGTATGATAGAGGTGGATGCCACTGGACGTTGGAATTCAATTTTGCTTCTCCATAAATTGCAATCATCATGACCAATGTGCCATAATGATCTACATGCTATGATCGTAACTACATGACATAGCACATAGTTCCAATGGTTCTGGGTTGAGATGGGGATTCAGAGCCAGACAGACTACATCATTAGTCTATACACCTGAATTATGTGCTGTAGCTAGTACCCAACCCCAACCCAATTAAACCAAACCCAGCCCAGTGCAATCACTGTCCAACCCAAACAAGCCAATCTATGATTTTTGAGCTACAACATCGAGACGCATATCATTCGATGCGTAAGGAGCATATCTATCGATTGGTCCTTGCTGTTTTTCAAAATTCTGCTTTTTGTGGGTGTGGTGGGCATTTTTTGAAAAAATTGGTTTCTCCCCCCCCCTTTTGAATTTCCCCTCCTTTTTTTTCCAAATTTTTTCAAAACTATAACAAAAATGAAAAAAAGCTTCAACCAATCTCTAGATCTTTTATTTGCAAATCGAACGGTATGTTACTCATTGCTGTAGCTTAAAAACTCTGGGAGGAGATAGGTTTGCAGTGACAATAAGTGTGAATGTTCAGTAGGGTGCGACAAAGTCCCGAGCCCCTCAAAATAGGCATTCAAGGTGACATAGATGCAAGACTAGACATTACTGGAGCCTAAATTCAGTCAAGGATGGTGGGAACGACTGCATGAGCACCATCCCACAAGACAGCAGCCGGGTAACTAAAGAGCAGTGTCTTCAGGTTGTCTATTTATGTGCCCGACCAGTAATTTTTGCTCATATTAAATGTTAAAGAACTCCCCCACCCCTAACCCTTTCACGAACTGTCGTCAAGGCATAAATCAACGTACAGAGACGATTTTGGTACCGTTGGATAGGTCAGAATGTCAGCTTTGAAGTGAGACTTAAAACCGAAAAAGTGAATTTTACAATTTTCATCCCAGAAATTCAGGGCGTAAAGGGTTAAATAAGTTCATTCAGACTTTAAATTTATTTTATTTTTATATTCCTAAATTATTCATATTTTATCTTTATTCTAGCATTTATTTATATGTGATTGTTTTTTGTAGTATGTTTCCCTTTTTTGGTTTTAATTTGATACACTTCTAATTGCAGGGTTTAACTCTAACCTCAACCTCAATTGACAGTGGGTTAGAACAGAAGAAATGGCATCAAATTCCAACCACAGACATACATTGCTATCATTGATTGGATCTATTTAAATAAATAATTGTTAATAACTGCTTATTAATTGATACATAGCTCAAAAGTTGCCTCTTCTATAACCTATATCTTATCTCTTGAATTATTTTCCAGAAATACTGTCTACCAATTTTTTAACAAGTCTTTAATTTATGCCCTGAGCAAAAAGTATCACAGATATTGCATAGAAATAGTTTAATTTCTCAAGAAAATCATCAACTAGGTTTGAACTCATGGCAAACCGTAAAAGAGGCCAAAAAGGCCAACCTAGCAGAAGGAGAGGATCAAGAGGTAGGCGTGGAAGGTCTCCTGCAAAAGCTTGCACATCAAATACCGAAGACCTTGATCCCCCATCATCACCATCCAACAATGAGGCAGCTACTGATGCTTTCTCTCTTTCTGAGGTATTAGTGCTAATAAATTTAAGGAGCTTTTGTAGTATCAAATTATATGCTTAGGATTTTCATTGTTTTTCTCAACTAAACTTGATAGTAGTACAGTCTAAAATGATGTGATATACAAATGATTATTGTTGGTCAGAGAAATTGTGCATCCATTGTTCTTAACAGTTCTGCAGGTACACTGAAACAAATAGTTCAATTTTATAAACACCATTTGTATGATATGGCCTAGCAACGATATTTACCTTCATGACACAAAGGTTGAAGAAGAGGATACATATATTTGTTAGAATTGTGTGTTATGATGTTGAGGTATTTATTTATTATGGCCTAGTAGGTATCACTTCTAATTCCTGTAATTTTAAGTCTAATTAGTTTGTGTAATAGTTTTTTTTTTTTTTTAAATTCTGTTCATAAGCTGTTAACCCATTTGCAGGCAAGCATATATGTAAATATAGAGAAATTTAAATTTGGCTCCAATAAGTATGAAACATTTAAAGCACATTTACTTCTGGATATTCTCTAAAAATTTTGGTATTGAAGGTAAAATTTGCAGGTTAATAATAAACATAGTTGTGGTGCTAAAACTTTTTTTATACAATTCACATTTTATTATTCAAATATAAAAGAAAATTATTTATCTTTAATTTAATTGCATCAAGTTGCTTACCTTAATTGAGTAGATATTGCTACTTATCTTTTAAAAAGTGTGCAGCAAGAGTATAAATTTCATTGTCTGACTAAAAACATTGATTTAAATGATAATATCTAATTATTGGGCATGTTAGGAGGTAATGCAATGTACAGAACTATGAAAAAATCTGATGATAATGCAGCCTCAGCCTTCAAACAAACCAGGGTCTTCTGGGTCTTTTTGGAAGGAGATTTGTGAAGTGTCCATAAATGGTCACTTACTATTAAATTGAAAGGGTTAGGCAAGACTATGAAAAATGCATTTATTGTGAATTTTATTGCACATTATGCAAACAAAGCCAAGAACATCAGCACAATTAGTCTTATTGCTACTAAATTGCATTGCTAACTTGATGTATGAGTGGAGAAATCAGGAACTGCTTGTCTTGTACTGAATACCGTACTCATTATGTTTCTTCTCCACAAATGCATCTCATGCATCAATCCCATAATATTTTGTATTTTTTTTTAATTTTGTAGATATCAGTTGAGTGAGTTCATCAGCAAAGCCTGAACTAAGTAACCCTATGAGCAGGAGCTGCAAGACATCTCTCTAAAATGAGGCTCAGTGTGGATATTTGTCCTTATCCTATAATACAACAAACACATTTCAGTTGCTGTGGCGGATTAATGAAAGGAGAGATCTCCAGGTGGCTGAAATATACCATGTACTGAAATACCATGTATACCATAAATATATCATGTACTGAAGATAAAAGAAGAATAATGTCCAGCAGTCAGATTGAGCTTTTGGCTCTGGCCAACCATCAGTCCTATATTGCTTTCCACTAGCTTCTCTGTAAGCTTTGATTCACTTCATGAATCAGTCTATGGTCAACAGTGTAGTGTTCTAGAATGGTCTTCTACACATGCCTTGATAGCAGGCCTTTCAAAGAACAACAATCTCACAAGTCTTTCACCTATCCCCACAAGTCAGATTCAGACATGCACACTATTCTGAGCAGTGAAGAAGTACTAAAGCATGTGCACATCTTTAAATACCCCATAAAAGTTATATGCTTTATGAACATTAGTGAGCTAAATTTTTTCCCACTGGAACTGTGTCAGGGCAGGCCCTCCAAGACTGTTGCAGGAAGGAAGGATAAGGCTAACAAGCTTCAATAATTTACTAAGTAAAGGAATGAATTCCTAAAGAACTGAAAGTTGCAGGTACAGAGAATGGCACAGTACATGCTTACCCATCACATTACTTTAAACTAAATCCACACTCAGACAGGTACAGAATTAATGGAACTAAGTTAGGACTTCAAGTCGGCTCATTCTCAGGTCATCCACAGACTGAATGCACACACGCAGCGCCCCACTCAACTTGAGGTTTGCCAGCTCAACAGAGTGTCCACAGATGCTGATGTGACGAAGCTGGCCTGCATAGAACTAGATAGCTCTAGGGGACCCCAAGAGAAATAACAAGGGTTCTGGAGGTAATGTTATCAGTGCCACCAAGCAGGCCCACCGGCATACCTCAAACAAAAGGGACATGGTCGATGTCAGGCTGGAGGTGCTGCAGCGCCAGGGCATGTAAGCAAGCAGACCGTTGGGGCATGGACATAATTAGCAAAAAAAAAAAAACATGAAACATGGCAACTAGCAATCAACATATTGCTCCCGCAAATACATTTCATAAACTGTAATATAATGAAGCTTACATATTTATTTGGTATCAACAGTCAGGAAATAAATGTCTGAATTAACTTATAACTTTTTTACTGTTATATCATATATCAGGTGAGTTTGAACAAAAGAACTCAGTAGTCTCATAGAAAATAACTCCAAAGTTTCAAATAGTCTAAAAAATATGATTCTCTAAAACTTGTCTCAAAAAATAGTAGTCACAATAACTTTTCAATAGCTTGAAAAATTGCCAAATAATCAGAAATAAAATAGAAAAATGAAATGCTCATAGCGGTCCCATGTTGGGATGAGAACTTATGACAAAAACATCAACAAGGGAAGGAATGTGATACATAACTGGACTGACTCATAACTGGACCCATAATGAAATTGAATGGACAGAAAAATAGATGACCAGCAAGAAATACTGATTATATTGATGCATTATGAATGGACAAAAACAAATATATATATCATTAGTAATGGACAGTGATTGGCTTTAGCTTCTTCTGGCTCTAGTTTAATAAAGTAAGGCATGAAATAAGTGCAGCTGTGCAGTCAACTTGAATATCAGCATAAAAGAATGTCACCTTAGATTTGCTGCTCTGCTTGTGTGATTATACTTGAATTAATTGGTGCTAATGCCAGCAATTTGGAAACTGGACAATTCTGTAAAAATTACTCATATCATAAATAATAATTACTCATACTCATAAATATTAGTAAATTTAGACTGGTAAGTTGAAGAACCATGGCAAAAAAGCTCTGATGGTCAACAGTCAATTTGCTGGCTTCAATTTGCCCTTGCTACCAAACCACCTGCAGCAGCATATAAAGAAAAAGCACACAGGACAACAGGAAATGTGTGGAAGTGTGTATCCAAACTGATAATTTGAAGTAACTGTCATTTGAATTTTATTTAACGAGATTTTTGAGGATATTTGAAAACGATCAGGACACACAGAAAAACAAAAGGTTTTTTTCTTGTCCTATAGGTACATAGAAAGCAAAAGTGTTTCTTGAGAAAGTGTTTCTATCGTGATTAAGATGAAAACAAATCCAATTTTTGTGAATAGACTTGGCAAAAGTATCATCATCATTATGATAATTGGATAACAAGTGAGCGTATCATGCATTCAGAATTATCAAAATGAGAAATATTTATGCATCAAAAAACAACAAATAAATATGATGGAAACATTCAATTTGCACATCATTCAGTGGGTAGGCAAAACTTTATCCAGTAATAAAAAAGTTCCTCATTTTCTCAAAATAACAGTTAAATTAGCCCAATCAGAACTCAATTTTATGATTCAGTTACAATATTGTTAATTTTTCATAGCCAATTAAGTTTTCAATGTTGATATTTTTTTAGTTTTAATTAAAATATTTGAATTTTAAGAATAAATTTGTTGAGACATTGTAAAAAAAATGTCCATTTTAACACACAAGAAAGATGAACACAACTATGATTTATGGCTCTTATCTATAAACTGTGATATAGATAATTATTAATTTGTGTTTGATAACTTCATTAAATGTGAAAATTGAGGGTAATGGGTGAAATTTGCAAAAAATTTTTCAAATTAATCAGAATAATCAGTTCACAGCACCAAATAGGAATCATGGAAAAATCATTCTTAAGGTTTTTTTCACACAAAGAACATCTACAAAGCTTTGTTAATTGGTCATATGTGGTCTCTATTTTGGAGGTAAAAACTACATTACCTATTTTTACATTTGACTTGACAAGAAAAAGCTATTTCTTGGAAGCATTCACAGTTGTCTCTGCTTGACAAAAGTTGCAGCAGCTGCCATTTCACCTGGAAAATGCATCTGAGCCTGAATTCACAGACAACTTGCATTTGTGGGGAGAGCTGCTTCTCTACATCTGCTCATCAGTCTTCTCAGCAACAAAAATTTTATGATACTTGTAAATTCTCAGACTTACTCAGCAATTTAAGAAATGCTGATTTTCACATACCCAATGAAAAAAAAGGAAAGAGAGATTAATAAATAAAAGTTTTACTCTGCTTTTCTCAAATAGTTGTTAGCAAAGAGACAGGTTGAAAATTGAAAATTCCATCTCTAGGAATGATCCTTACATATAAACATGATTCCTGTCAGAAGAACATGTGAATGATGTACAAAGATTGTGTAAAGTATGACTCAACAAATAATCTTCTACATGAAAAAACATCATAAATGTATGAAGACTTGTGAGTAGTAGAATAGGTATGTAAAATTAATGAAGAACAAAGGTTTGCTTTTAATGAGTCTGTCTTTTTTAGGAGCAGACAAAATATGAAAGAGGTATCCTTGAAGCCAAGCAGGCTTCAAGCAATCACACACTCTAGAATGAAATTTTGTACTGACAACTGGTATTATTTTAGCCATGGATAATAAGCTACAAGTTCACTGAACAAGAAATCAAGAGAGATTGAAAGTCTTGCTGTTTCATAATCACTTGCATCAATAGAGAAAAGTAAAACTACAATTGTTCATTAGTGAAAGCTGTGCAAAAATTAAAGAATGTACCTATCTAAGAATAGTGGCTGTGAGTAGCAGGACCTATACTTTCAAAAAAAGTTAAGAGATCATAAGTTCATCAGCCAATCATTGATGGCCTTTCAAGCAAAATCCACAAATCATAGACAAGAAAATAGAGCGTAAGTACTTACATTCACTTAGCAAGATTTGAAAGTATGGCCTGAGAACTGCACATGGATAACTTTAAGCTGAAGTCTTGATTTTGTTATATATATATGGCATACATAAGAAGCCTATTGCACAAGAATGACGAGACATGACAATTATTGAAAAGTTTACAAACAAATCTCTGCCCAATGTGTGAAGACTCCAATTTTTCCCCAAATTAAAAAACAATTAGATGCATGAACTGTGGAAATAGACATCATCTAAATAAATACATATCCTAAAGCAAGACATAAATCAGCAGGTATTGCCAATAAAAGAAAAATAGCTATTTCTATGAACATATGCATGTCAAGATTATGTGTGCACACTATTAATGTTGAATATTGGCTCTAAGGCTTCATATATGACAAGATAATTTAATCCATCCTACATTTGGCTCTTAACTTGCAATTGATGAGTCATAATTCATGAGGTGATTAACATTGGCAACAGTAAACCCTAAAGAACTGATATTTCAGTACATTTGATTGTTTTCTCAGGTGCCTTATTAGGAACATGAGCAGAAGGAAAGCAGCAGAACCCAAAACTACAAATTTATTGAAAACAGCATGCACACTGATCTCCACATATCACATCTAGCAGTTTATTTAATTTTCTTGAATGCTAGTTGTTGTTCTTATCTTATCCATTTAGTATACAAAAATTTGAAAAGAATATATTTATACATATTTTACACTCCACTTAAGTTTCCATGCCTCACATTTAGGAAATCATTGATCTATCTGAATTTTTAGTAATCAACATCAGGGAAATCTTGATGCAAATAAATCGATCTTAATGAAAAGAAAATTAACTTATTCATGTTCTCAGAATTTGGCATTAGTGCTATTTAGAAGGAAACAAACAATCACAATTTGTATGAATCAATACTGTGCAGAATTGAGGCTGTAATTGCCACATAAGGTGGGCCTATACCATACTAAATTGTATTTTTGTTAATTTCTCAGGCATTTCCCTTATTTGTTCTATTCAGGTGTTTCCCCTCCTTAAATATATATAAATATATAATTTGTTAGTCCCTTTGGTTAACATTTGAAAAGTTTTATAAACCAAGGAAAAAAATATTCGGTCACACCTAGAGTCTAGCAGACTATCCCTAACACACAAAATTTATAAAAGCTGTCATACAATTATGTATTTTCTGAAAAAATTGAGTCCTCTAGAAAATATTTTCTCAATAGTAAACAAAAAGAAGTGTGAAAACCTATGATTCAGTAGTTTATAAGGCTTAGAGTTTGAAGAGATACTTGAAGATTTGAAAACATTTTAGCAAAGTATGAAACGTTATTAAATGAGTTATTTAGAATGTTTTAATGATGAAAATGAATTTTCCAAAATTGATATTGTGTCCATGTTGACTCAAGTATATCCCAGGCTCTATGATTATTGCAGTCGAGTATTCCTCAATAAATGAATAACATTTATTATATTAAAGCCATTAATAAATTTCTTGAAGATGTTTGAACAAGGCCTATTTTACATTCACATTATTTGATCACATAACAGCTCAGTCTATTTATGCCCTAACCACCATAAGATAAATATAAATTTAATTACATGTTTCTATTTCATTGCATCGCTGACAATCACTTGTTGGCTTGCTGAGGAAAAAATGGCAGTAATCTAGAGAATAGTTGAATTGAAGGCCATAACTTGTTCCCATTCATAGCCACTCTAATTTCCTAATAGAAAGATATAAAAAAATATTACATCCCCTTTTGGATGTTATTTCTAAGAATCTAGTACATTGCTATTCACAGACTCAATTGATGTTTTAACATTATTAACAATTTAACCAATGTTTGCTTTTTTCATGCACAGTATGGGGCCAACATTCCATCTCCAGAACCACCTCAAGACTTTATTGGCTTTCCAGCTGATTCTGATGACAGCTCATCTGGTAAGATAGACATTTCTCATGAAGAAATTTATGGTGAAGACTCCATCCAGTTGGTGTCAGAAGCAACAGATTCATTCAGCCACACAAATAAATGTGCCATGCTTCCAAATGAGAGTGACTTTGCAGTTGAGACCTGCAGTAACACTGAAAAGTTGCTGGTGCTTAGTGAAGGTGAAAATGTTCAAGGTAACTGTAGTCAAATGATTGACAAAAATGAATGCTTGGTAGAAAGTAAAGACAGCTACAATTGTTCAAATGAAATTGAAGAAAGCTCCTCTGCTAATGCTGGGAAACATGCAGACTTTGAGCAACAACTTTCATCTACTCTAAAATTTCACCAAAATGACTTGGTCCCAGCTGTTGAACAACCAATATCAGAGTCGAAAAAACATGAAGATGCCCCCCTGTCTCATGAGGATGAGGCTCATAAAATTAGTCCTGTAATGATAACAATGGTGAGTTTGAAGGATGCCCTAAACAACAAAGAAGTTGGTGACCAAGATGCCAATGAGTTATCTCAAGAATTTCTAAAAGAAAAAATTAATCACATTGAAGATAAATGTGATGAATTTAAATTGAGTAATACAGTTGAAGTCAAGAATCTGAATCAATTAGGAGAAAACATGACTGAAGAGTTACCTTCTCAATCCCTAACTAATGAGGGTCATGAGTTTAGAAATGAAGTTCACAATAAATATTTTACTGATATGGATGGAAATAATGAAGAAAGTTTTGATAATGATTGTAGTCTTAGTAAAGTTATATCATTGGAGATTAATGATGATAGTAGTGAAACTTCATCATTTAAGGATGACAACAATGCTGTTCCTGAAGTAGATGACGCTTGTTCAAGTATTTCCTCCACATTCATTGAAGCAGCAGCTCACACAGATGATAGTCAGAAAATGGATAACAAAGTATCAGACAAAGTTGAGGAGACTGCTTCTGGTTCAGGCATTCCTGAAACAAATGACCATGAAGATGGTTTGCAGCCACTAGAAACTAATTCACAGCCTGACGGCACTCAGGTATTGCCTGTTTTGCCAAGCAAAAAAATACATGCAACTACTGAGACTTCAAACACTGGTAAAGTTCCATGCACTATTGAGTCGGATAACATGTATGACCTAAATACTGCTTCACACCATGAGCATACTGTTCTGCCCAATGAATGTGTTTCAAAAAATGATATTACTGCTGGTAAATGTATGATAGAAGATGCTTGTTCAACCATTTCTGGTAAAAATGTTGCAATTTTTCTTGCCAAAAAATTTGAAACTGATGAAACTCAAATTCCATCATCTGATTCAGTTTTCCTTAATCAAACTGAGATTCCATTGGATAGTGAAATTGAACATGCAAAAAAACAACAATCACATGGAAAAGATACAGGACCATCAGTTGATGAAATTATTTCTATAAGTAACACCAGTGAGACTATCAATATACAGAAGCCAACTGTAAGCTCCAATAGTCAACTAGAAGAAAGCTCATCAAAAGAACCTCAATTGTCATCTGTCAACTCATCTGCTGTTGCAACTACCAACAAACCTAAAAAGCACCCACGCAAATATGGTAAGGACTTAGACAAATGTCGGAAAAATATTCTTCGTAATAGAATATTTTTTGTTCGTCACACTTGTGTTAAACTACCTTTTTTGTTAATGCAAAATCTTTAGAATAACTTACATATTTCTGTAGAGCCTGCAAGATCAAAATGGTGTCTGTGTAAGTTATGCACCTGAGTTGTCTCATAAAGTCAAATAAATCACGCCATGCATGAATTTCTGGAACTTTAGTTCTGTGATCAGTGTAAGTATTCTTAACTAACCAATATAACTTTTATCATATGAATCTCTTGACACATTTTTTTAAACAACGCTTTCAGATTTGAATCAATTACTCATGATCCCAAAATGATTTTTTTTAATCAAAAGCACCTGTGACAAACAACACTAAGGCTTTAATGTTAATGGAAATATAATAACTTAGCCATGCTAGCACTGCACAATGCTATTGATTAAACAACACAATACATCATCCAAGTTTTTTCATGTACCTTTTATAACATCACTGATACATCACTTTGTAAGCCTGCAACTGTCAATAATTAATGGAATGATTGAAACCATTACAGTAACATCACCCAATTGTGGTAAAGTTGATGAACAGAAATTATATTGATAGGAGCTGACCATCTTGCAAAGAATAGTTGAAACAATTTTTGACCCAATTGCAAGTGAGTGATGATATCAATAAAAAAATTTAATCATGAAAAAAATTATTGTGGCATTGTCATGTGTACGAGAAGTTCCATATTTGGGGGTCACAGTATTACACTATGTAAATTTGAATTCCACAAGAAGTATCATGTGAGTATTGCAATGGATCGGCAACCTCTGCATATGTTTCTAAATCCACCAATAACCGTATTGAAAAATGAGAATTTAAAATTTAACACATTGTTTACTTTGAAGTACAAATAAATTCTATTTACCAATTGTGACATGCACATATTACTCTGTTTCCTCTCTAAAAAAAAAAAAACAGGAATCTGACTGGTTGTACAAGACCTGGCATCTCAGGCTTATAACCAACAGTTCCACTGTATTGCTGGCTTTATTTTACAGGAGAGGAGCACTCACTGGTGATAGAGCACAACATTTCACCAGCACTTGGCTGACTCAAATGCATTATTATCAAATTAATACTCTATTGTAATGTTGCTCGCTTAATTGTGCAGGAGAGGAGCATATACTTGTGACTGTGGAGTGCAACGTGTCACCAGCACATGGCAGACATGAGTGCATTATAATCAATATTATTCTACTATTCTATTGTAATGTTGCTTGCTTTATTTTGCAGGAGAGGAGCATATACTTGTGACTGTGGAGCACAACGTGTCACCAGCACATGGCAGACATGAGTGCATTATAATCAATATTATTCTACTATTATATTGTAATGTTGCTTGCTTTATTGTGCAGGAGAGGAGCATATACTTGTGACTGTGGAGCACAACGTGTCACCAGCACATGGCAGACATGAGTGCGTTCTGTGCATGCCTGGCAAGTCATTCCACGCCAAGCAGCTGGCTCAACATATGCGGTCGCTCACGCATCTCAAGAATGTGCTTGTGAGTTGCTTGTCCAAACATGGTGTTCTTGTGCTCACTATTTTTCAGTGCTTATGTAACAATTTAATTCATTTGCTAACTTATAAAGGTATGGAATATTTTTTTCAGTGCGTTCAGACTGTGGTAAGGATTAGTTCTGCTAAATTTTCATTCAGTCCTCAATTACCAATCAACACATAAATTACAGAAATAGTTATGGCATATATGCTGCTGGAAAATTTAGCTGTTGAAATGTTAGTAAATACAATTGTATCTACCCAGTCGGATGAAGGTTGAATTATGAGTTATCTAACATACTACTTATGCATTACAGGCATTTTTAGTTATTCTAATTTTCAACTCACTGGTACAGGAATTTCTAAGGAAAAATACAATCCTTCTTTACAATCCACCTTGCAAAGATCTGCATACTTGCAAGTATGCTTGCAAGATCAGCATACTTACCAAAAATTATGTTCTTCCTTTTCTCAGTTTAAATGCCTAATTTTATTGCCTTGCAGGAGTTGGTTGACATCTTCACCTATGAAGAACTCAAAGCCACTGACGATGCCTCTATCTTTATGGATGTCCTTGCCACTGTGAGATTCTTTCTTGTATTTTTTGCTGAAATTTTCATGCAATGTTGTATCATGTTCGAAAGCTTGGTGGCTGTTAGGTGAAAGTGCTAGGCTAGCTTATGCAGAATTATATTTTCAAATAGGGTAATTAAGCTCATTTTCATTTTAGTTTCACAATTCATTAGAAAAAAATCCGAATATTTGCCATTGTCTTATGTAAGAAAACATTCTTAATTATATGACACACTTGACTCACTTTAAGAAGCATTTCTTGCTTCATTATCCATCTGTCAATATTGTTAAATTCTATAGAAAGAGAGCATTTACTGTCCTATTAGTCATGCACCATTGCTAGTAAAATGTTCTATTAAATTCCTGTCTGCAGTTGCTGCAAGGCCAGGGGCCCAAAAAGCTTCACTCTGTGCGACCTGAGTTTGAGGAAGCAACACGAGCACGGCTCCTGAGTGCTATCCGTGATCGTCGCCAGGTGGCGAGGTGTGGTGATGTTGTTGTTGTTGTAATTGCCCATCCTGGTAGTGGCGACTAGGTAAGGGAGGAGGTGATAAGGCAGTTTTTCCGGGCACCTAATGCCACTGGTAGTTCCACGACCATCACTGGTTTGCTGACCCGCCAGAACCATTATAGTGCATTACACAACACCCTGGACAAGCCAGGTACTAATTTATAAACCAGAGTTGGATGAATGGCTGAGTTGACCATGAGATGAGCCTCCCGGAAGAACTTGTCCTCAGTGGGACTTGAACCCGGGAGCTGAATGCGAGAGACAAAGTCCCTCACCCCTGCACCACCGCAGCTCAGCTGGTGATAGGCATGCAGTGTTGCTGTTCATGTTAACTACTTAATATTTGTATACTTAACATCTTTCGTTAGTTGTAGGGATAACGCTACTGCGAGGGATTAAATTTTTATTCAATATTGTATGATCATATGCTATTTTCAATGTGTAGGCCAGAACCAATATTTTCTAAGCCTATTTTTATTTTTCTGAAGAAATGAGCAGTGATTTCTTTCCTGTGGCTGTGATATAGTGCAAATTGTTGGTACTACTGTTCAACATCTGATAAATTTCCCAGAAATATTGTCTTTGGCTAATAATCTCTATTTTTTGTCTGTGCAGAGAAAAACTGGAGCTAAGTCAAAAGAGAAATACCACCAATACTTCGAAGCCTGAAGCTGCTTCTACGCTGACCGTTCCAAATGAGAAAATTTTTACTTCCTGCAGTGCTCAAAAGTTACCCGTTCTCTCAGAGACTCCAGAACAAACTTCGATACATAGTAGCGAGTCGTCAACTCGTGCTGGGGTGACTGAGCCATTGCCTAACGATGACAAGAACCCTGCAACATTCCCACAGGCTCATAGCATTTTTGGTACACGAGCCGGTGTGGAAAAACAAGGACAACCATCTACATCACCTTGCATTAAAAAAGTATCTGGTGAATTACCTCTGGTTTCCCGGGAGATATTAAAACATGCTCCTAATTTTGTTGAATCGGAAGAAGCATCCAAAACATGTCCAGAAACGGAAATATCTCGTCTTGTGAAAAGAGAAGAACTATTTTCTCCTGACGTGGCTCAAAAAGATACACCGCAAAGCTTTGAAGCAACTGAGACATTTTTGGCTGACTCAAACCGTCAGAAAGAGTCTAATACTCACATTAAAGACGAATTACCATCCCGCGATAGTGAAGGAACGTCAATGCAGCCTTCCACTGGAAATAAACTAGAGCTCCAATCCATGGTAAATAAAAAACCTAAAACTTCATCTGTTGTGCAAGAAGCGTTCAAACCTCGTAATGAAAATGAGTCGAGATTGCAGTCTAGTGTGGATGACAAAGCAGACAAGACAACGCGAGATAATTCGCTTGACATCCCTAATAATGACCGTGACGTTGATCCAACTTCACGGCGTTCTATAAGCTTGATGCTCAGTGACTTCTTAGCAGAAGAAAATAAACAGATTCCTAAGAACAAAGACGCGAGTGTTGAGTCGCAACCGCAGTGTACTCAAGATCCTAAGGAGGACACGAGTCAATCAATTTCTTCATCAACCCAAGCACTAGACGTTGTCGAAAATTCTTCCTTGAGCTTGAATAAAAATCGGGATACAAAAATCACCTCGGTATCATGTCCCAGCAACAATAAACTGGGTACAGAAAAGCTTCCAAACAGACATGAGGAAACAGAAGCCGAAATAAATCCTCTATCCAAGTCTGGAAGATTATCTACTGTAGGAATCTTATCGCGTCTTAGCCAGAGCTTCGGTGGCCAACTTGGTAAGTTGTCGACCGTTGGACCGGGCGTGAGCTCGTCAAAGCGAAAGGCAAACTCGACTAATTTGATGCTTGAGAACACAGAACTGCATCAAGGTGACGGCAGCAAAGACGATTTGACTCCTAAGGTGAGACTCAATGTAGTTTAAGAAATCCGTAAAAATTATGTAAAGGCCCAGCCTTGATATCCATTCTCAGTAGATAATTGAATTCTAATCTTGTACCGCAAATTACTACACGTTGAAGTGATATTATCACTGAGGGAACATTCGAATTACTTATACCGTATGTCAGTTCTAATTGTGGCTCAGGTGGTTAATAGTTTTTAATATGGTATTTGCATTCACCAGGAAATGGACATTGCTGAGAGCGACAACGGAGAGGATGATAACGGCCATGAAGAAGGTGAGACTGAAGGTGTTAAAAAGGCAGGTGGCGTTAAAAAGACTAACTTATCTTCTGAAAAGTTTGACAGGTTAGACCATGACCGCATTGAGGGCAACGTCTAATTTGAAAAACTCGTACTCTTGGAACTTCAGGAAAACTATTTTATTCAAGTGTTCGAATTGTCCTGAAACTTGTGATTTATTTGTGTGGTTTGAACTTTGAACTGATTCTACTGTCGATTAATCAGGATTATGTTGACTTGATTCATCATTTGTACGATGGTGTGTGGCAGACATCGGTTTACAAGTGTTTTTCGAAAAGAAAGATTTATGATATTCCATGAAAGATTCTCCCAAAAATGCCATCCCCTGCCTATGAATATTGCCACAATTTTATGCCTATTGTCAACTTTTGTGCACTAGAACACACCACGACTATAATAATGCTGGAAGCTTTTGCTGTCAGAATAAAATTCACCCATCCATAGCCTCTCGCATCCAATAATGAACCAATATTTATAACTAATGAGTTTACCAGCTACATTTTAGCGGAAAGAAGAAATTATAGCGTGCCCATGATTTTCTTTTTAGCGCATTTTCTCATTTATGGAAAAAAATGCCCTATTGTCCTCGTCATGTCCGTCCGTCTGTCCGTGACACGTTTTCGTCGACGAGAATATGCGCTCTCTGTCACTCACTGCAGTGAGTACTGAGCTATATTTTTTCTTTATATTGATTGCCTTTCCCTTACAGTGCCTGAGAACCTCACCGCTGCTGTGCCGCATGCGTCCAAGTCTTTGGAGAATCAAGGCTCAACTTCCGTTGGTTCTTCTCTCCCTTCCAAGAAAGCTCGAACTGAGACTTCTTCAAACTCCCTGTCTTCCTCCGCCTTCGAAACTGGGAGTCCTCTCTTCCCCTCTGCCGTGTCATTGCTTCAATCGGTCAAGGATAACAAATTCCCGACTGCTAATAGTGAGGCGGCTCTGGTGCAAATGTCTCTCCTCTCTGAAACTCCTCTTTCCAAGTGAGTAAATCATATTGTTTAAAGGAAACTCGTGTTTATAATTTGTTGAAAAATCGATTGTGTTGACACTTTAGTTACAAGATGTATGAAAAAGATGAATTTTATTGCGATTTTGATGAATTTTATTGCAAAAATTTATAAAAATTTGTTGAAAGATCGATTGTGTTGACACTTTAGTTACAAGATGAATGAAAAAGATGAATTTTATTGCGATTTTGATGAATTTTATTGCAAAAATTTACATTATTTCAAATCCCAGACAAATTTTCGCTGGAACCTTAGCCTATGCCAAGTTTTTATCTTATTCCTGCCACAGGAAAAAGAAGATTCAAGATGCATCAAAGTTGCCACGTGAAGACTTCCCTGTAGTGGAGGTGACTGGAGACGATGTGCCCGTGTACCTGAGCAACATCAGAGTCAGCATGGGCTTCATGCTCCTCAAACGCGTCCTAGAGGCCTGCGCCCNAGTGGGCCTCGGTGACAATCAATGGCAATCGTATACAAGGTTCACGATGTTCGTCTTGGTTCTCACAACTATCTTCTTCGTCGCAGCCACTTTACACTGGCGTCAACGATACGTCCGACTGCCTCTAACACCGCGACGGGACTAACTCGCGGTCGGCCCGCTCTCTCTCTTAAATACTCCGCCGGTCTCGCGCAAGCGCTCTAGCTAGGCGGTTCGAGCTCCTCCCTCGAAATCCCGAATTTATGTCTAATCATCAATCCCTAATTTTATGTAAAATTTATTCCTATTCCTATTCCTAATCACGCGTCTAGACATTAATTTGCATATAGAAGTATATTCACAATTGTTCATGCCCACGGCCGTTTGTGTATAATGCAACTAGGAAAGGGACTTTTTCAACATTAATTTTTAGTTTCATTAGTTGAAAATTATACTGAAGTTTAATGAGCGTGCCTTAATTATTTCTTTTCCTGTCGAGATCGTCCTTCCCGATCATTTTCCAATGTTACACTTAATTCTTCATCTTAGTTACTTTATTTACATTTGCCGTAAATTCCGTTCAAATGTTTTCATTTACATCACAATGGACAAAATCGCTCTCAACGTATTATTGTTTCTTTTGGCAAGCAGCTTTGTGGAATAATTTACTCTAGGTTTCCCTTGCCAATAAGCATTATATAAAAATGGCTGTAAGTTCTCTCTGCCCAGTAGGTTAATTGAAAAATTGCTGTGGGTTTCCATTGTCAAACAACTTTATATTAAAAAATTGGTGCTGCTCTCCTTTGCCAAACTGCTTCATTTAAAAAATTGGTGCTGCTCTCCTTTGCCAAACTGCTTCACTTAAAAAATCGCTGCTACTTTCCTTTGCCAAACAGCTTTACATAAAAAATTTCTGCTGCTTTCCTAAGCCAAACAGTTTCATATAAAAAATAGCTGCTGCTTTCCTTTGCCAAACTTCTTTATATAAAAAATAGCTGCTGGTTTTTTTTCGGCCAAACAGCTTAAAAAATCTCTGTAGGTTCCTAATAACCGCCGTTTGCTGTGCAGGCTTCGTAGCGACCGTGGTGTGGACGAACAAGGATCGCTTGCTCAGCTTCCTGAAAGTGCTGTCTTGTCTCATCATCAACGCCGCCCGCCTCTCTGTCCACTGCCCTGCACGTTCGACAAGCTTGTTATTATTATCAAATAACTTCGATCGATCAACGCAAAAAAATATTAGGTGTATATCCTAATAAAATTATTCTATTCACTTTTATAAAGTATTAAGGACAGGATATTTCTCATTTTTTCTATTTTCTCGCGCTTTATTCCGTATGCTTATTATACAATATATTTTATCAGTTATTACACAGATGTAAACTTTATTTTAGTCTTTCTTCCAGGATACCAATGGTTTGAAACTAATTTTCAATTGCGGAAAAATTATAACTAATTTTCATTTGCTGAAAAATTAATAAATTTGTTGTTTTCACTCAGGATCACCAGACTTTTTCTTCCACGAGTCGTGGGAAGATGTTTACGTCACTGGGCTGGAGAAGTCCTTCCTGTACCTCGCGGGTGCCATCAGGAACCTGTTCAGGGTGCGCGGCTACTCTAAACGTGAGTCCTGCGTATACATTTGCCTTGTGTTGTAGATATTAAATTATATAACACGTCTTATGACATGATGGTACAATAGCAATAATCTCGTGGATAGCGGCTACTCTAAACGTGAGTCCTGCGTATATATTTGCCTTGTGTTGTAGATATGAAGTTTGGTATCACGTCCGGGCAGGGTGGTCCAGTGGTTACAGTTCAGAGTCCATACTTTCAAAACTCGCTAAGTGAACGTAAGTGCTTACGCTCTATTTTCTTGTCTATGATTGATGTATTTTGCTTGAAAAGCCGTCAATGATTGGCCGATGAACTTACGATCTCTTAACTTTTTTTTGAAAGTATGGGCCCAGAGTACCAAGATTGGAGCAGAGAGGCGCGGGTTCGATCCCAGCTCTGTGCGCCAGTTTCTGGTCAGAATCGGCGAGGAGGCCGGGCGGGTAAGCACAGCAGAATTGTAGCAGTGAGTTGAGAGTTCGAGACCGCAACAAGCGGTGAATGTTCTGCGATGTTATGAATCGGCGACAGGCCTACGGCCTACTAAACGCTGAAACCGCTACCGCTATCTATAACATGACGGTACATAAGCTATAGTCTCGTCGATAAAATCACGCTGAAAGTATGGTAATCTCATTGATGACATGATGGTGAACATATGAGCTCCACATCAATAACATGACGGTGAACATGCAATTATTTTATCAATAAAACTACGCTGACAATATGATGAATTTGGCACCAACAATATGATGAATAATCTTACTATATAATCTGAATAATATAACTAATAAAAGTGTCTATGTCGTGGTCGCGGATTTATCAAAAATGCCATAGCTCTTTACGTGTTTTATGTGTTTTTTTATGCGTTTGTGATCAGTTCATGATTGCTTGTTGAGCCTTACATAGTCTTTTCTGCACAACTTTTCAGTAACATTATTTGCATTCACTAGATTTATTGAACAGAATTTCTCCAAGGCTAAAATTCAGTAATTTTGTCGATATTTAACGCTCCTAGTCCTGAAATTTGCTTCTTGTTCGTACTGAAATGACCCGACAAATGCATGGACTCCAGCATTGTAGTAAAGTTCTGTTTATTGGAATTTCGGTCATTTTATTATAATTGGCTAACGTAACGTTTTTTACTGCACATAATCAATAAGAGTGAGTTGAGATTGAGTAAAATTCTGGTACACAGGAGAGTGGCATTTTAAAAATTGATGAGTGCGAGTTTTTTGTTTAGATAAATTATTGATGACATGTTGTTTATGTTATTTAATTACTGGCGACGTGTTGTTTATGTTATTAATTATTGATGACTTATCGTTTATGAATTAAATCAATAATGGCGTGTCGTTAATCCAATTAATACTAATGACGTATTGTTAATCCAATTAATACTGATGACGTATTGTTAATCCAATTAAATCACTAATGACGTATTGTTAATCCAATTAAATTACTAATGACGTATTGTTAATCCAATTAAATTTCTGTTGCCGTATTGTTAATCCAATTAAATCACTAATGACGTTTTGTTTATGGAATTAAATTATTGATGAAGTGTCGTTTACTTAACTAAATTATTGATGACTTGTCGTTTACTTAATTAAATTACTGACGACGTATCGTTTATTGAATTAATTACTGATGACGTATCGTTTATTTAATTAAATTACTGACGACGTGCCGTTTACTGAATTAAATTACTGATAACGTTGTTTACGGAATTAAATAAGTGATGACGTGTCGTTTACTGTATTAATTTCTAATGACGTAGATTCATTACAGACTGCGGCAGCCAGCCTCGGCCACCGCGCGTCGTGTTCGTGACGCCGTCAGAGAAGGTGGCGCAGCGCGCTCGTCTGCTCGTCGTGTCCCTGGCTCTTCGTCACGAGCTGCTCGTCGCTCCTGTCAACTCTGGTGAGGACATCGTCTCTCTGTCAACGTCTCTCTGTCTTGTTAACACTCTCTGTCAACGTCTCTCTGTCTTGTTAACACTCTCTGTCAACGTCTCTACCGCTGCAAGTTCAATACAACGTCTCTCTCTTCGCTGATGAGGTCTCACAGGGTTAAATTTCTGCTATTTCTCTATTGAAAATAATGCCCAATAAACAATGTTGGTAAGAAAATTAACTCGTAATCAGCGTGGTTTCGTCTTCATTTACCGGGCATGTGTCGTTGAAGTTCAGAGCAAGGTCCGCCTCGGTCTGCTTCGGTCCGCTCCGGTTCGGTCTGGTCCGCTCTGGTCCGCTCTGGTCCGCCTCGGTTCGCTCTGGTCCGCCTCGGTTCGCTCTGGTCCGCCTCGGTCCGCTCTGGTCAGCCTCGGTCCGATCTGGTCCGCCTCGGTCCGCTCTGGTCAGCTTGCACTAGAACACACCACGACTATAATAATGCTGGAAGCTTTTGCTGTCAGAATAAAATTCACCCATCCATAGCCTCTCGCATCCAATAATGAACTACTATTCATAAATCATGAATGTACCACCTTCATTTTATCGGAAAGAAAAAATTATAGCGTGTTTAATTTTTTATATTTTTTCGTTACATTGAGTGCCTTTCCTTTACAGTGCCTGAGAACCTCACCGTTGCTGTGCCACATGCATGCAAGTCTTTGGAGATGCAAGGCTCTACTCCCGTTGGTTCTTCTCTCCCTTCCAAGAAAGCTCGAACTGAGACTTCTACAAACTCCCTGTCTTCCTCCGCCTTCGAAACTGGGAGCCCACTCTTCCCCTCTGCCGTGTCACTGCTTCAATCGGTCAAGGATAACAAATTCCCGACTGCTAATAGTGAGGCGGCTCTGGTGCAAATGTCTCTCCTCTCTGAAACTCCTCTTTCCAAGTGAGTAAATCATATTGTTTAAAGGAAACTCGTGTTTATAATTTGTTGAAAAATCGATTGTGTTGACACTTTAGTTACAAGATGTATGAAAAAGATGAATTTTATTGCGATTTTGATGAATTTTATTGCAAAAATTTATAAAAATTTGTTGAAAGATCGATTGTGTTGACACTTTAGTTACAAGATGAATGAAAAAGATGAATTTTATTGCGATTTTGATGAATTTTATTGCAAAAATTTACATTATTTCAAATCCCAGACAAATTTTCGCTGGAACCTTAGCCTATGCCAAGTTTTTTCTTATTCCTGCTTCAGGAAAAAAAAGATTCAAGATGCATCAAAGTTGCCACGTGAAGACTTCCCTGTAGTGGAGGTGACTGGAGACGATGTGCCCGTGTACCTGAGCAACATCAGGGTCAGCATGGGCTTCATGCTCCTCAAACGCGTCCTAGAGGCCTGCGCCCCTCTCAAGAACATTAAACTCGAGACCAATAAGCATGGAGAAGGTGCGCTCTTATCATTATTTAATTCTTTCTTTTGTTATTCTTTTAATTATCATTCTTTCTTTCTTTTAATTATCATGCTCCTCAAACGCGTGCTCGAGGCCTGCGCTCCTCTCAAGAGCATTAAACTCGAGACCAACAAGCATGGAGAAGGTGCACTTTTTTCATTCTTTAATGCAGGTTTCATTGAAGGCCAGAGAGTATCTTATTATTCTATCTAGAAATTAATTCGCGTATAGATATTAATTTGCATTTAGAAGTATATTCACAATTGTTCATGCCTACGGCCGTTTGTGCATAGTGCAGCTAGGAAAGTGTATTTTTCAACATTAATTTTTAGGTTCATTAGTTGATGATTAAATTGAAGTTTAATGAGGCTTACCTGAATTATTTCCTTTCCTGTCGAGATCATCTTTCCCGATCATTTTCCGTGTTACACCTATGCACTATCTTCATTGCTTTATTTGCATTTGTCGTAAATTCCGTTCAAATGTTGCCATTTACATCACAATGGACGAAATCGCTCTCGACGTATTATTGTTTCTTTTCGCAAGCAGCTTTATCAAATAATTTACTGCACGTTTCCTTTGCCAATAAGCTATATATAAAAATCTCTATAGGTTCTCTTTGCCCAGTAGGTTCATCAATGCTGCTTTCCTTTGACAAAAAGTTTTTATAAAAAATCGCTGCCGGTTTTTTCTGCCAAACTTTATATAAAAAATTGCTGTAGCTTTCTAATAACCGCCGTTTGCTGTGCAGGCTTCGTAGCGACCGTGGTGTGGACGAACAAGGATCGCCTGCTCAGCTTCCTGAAGGTGCTGTCTTGCCTCATCATCAACGCCGCCCGCCTCTCTGTCCACTGCCCCGGCTACGTCTTGCCAGGTGAGATGGACAACTTCTCGAGTCTTTTTAGCGCATTTTCTCATTTATGGAAAAAATGCACTATTCTACTCGCCATGTCCGTCCGTCCGTCTGTTTGTCTGTTCGTGACTTCACGTTTTCGTCGACGAAAAAATGCGCTCTCTGTCACTCACTGCAGTGAGTACTGAGTTATATTTTTTTCAACTTATCGTTATAACTTAAGTCTTAACTTGTCGTTATAATAAAAATTGCTACGAATTCGTAAATTTATCAGCTAATGGTCAATGGCTATACTAGCTAAACCCTCCAATCACAGACAAGAAAGCGGCCATTACGTGTACTAAACCCCCTTTATCTTTCTCTAGAGCTATCAATTATGTTGAACCAAACAACCATACGTTAGTTATGGAGCTAAACGTGTTCACACTAACCAAACTTTGATACGTTTGTCTTAAAAATGAAACTTGTCATTAAATCGATTTTGGTCAAGTCCCTATGTTGTCTTGAAATTAGTTTGAGTTAATTTTGCATCAATTTTTTTATATATTTATATGTACTATACATTTGGAACACGATAACAACAGTGGCACCATAATCGGTTTCGAATGGTAATTCCTGCCAAAAAAATGACTGTTTTAGGCTTTTAGCCATAATAATAACTTGCTATTATTGAAATTTTCTCGTTGGCTTGTTTCTGCCTTTGTCGGTCTTCCTTTATTTCAGTTATACCACTGCCTAATGATGCAAAAAATAAGAAAATTAACTTTTTATTTAATTAATAAAAAAACATGTTTATGAATTTATTGTTTACAAACCATTTATGAATGATAGATCACCTACTGTTGTGATAATAAATAAATTAACATGAAATGTTTACGTGCAGCTGTCATAGAGCTCTCAATGGAGGAGCTCGTAATCAAGTATCGTATCAACAGGATTCTCACTGACGCCAACAAAATCGTTGACTGGGGTATGTCTTTAATGAATTAATAATTAATAATAATAATTAATAATAATTTTAAAATTATTAATAATAATTTAATTAGAATCTCAGCGGCTGCCCTGAGATTCTCACGGACGCCAACAAAATCGTTGACTGGGGTATGTCTTTAATGAATTAATAATTAATAATAATAATTAATAATAATTTTAAAATTATTAATAATAATTTAATTAGAATCTCAGCGGCTGCCCTGAGATTCTCACGGACGCCAACAAAATCGTTGACTGGGGTATATCTTTTTCCATTGATTGCTCATACACTGTACGTAACGAAATTGTTTAGTTTTCTATATCTCTTCCAGTAATTGTTCCAATGCTATAAAAATTGTTGACGATATTATGTGTTTTCGTTGATTGTAGAACGTTCAGTTTCAATGTCTGCAACTGATTGCACCTATACTTTAACATGTTGTTTAGTTTGCTATATCTCTTCTAATAATTGTTCTAATGCTATAAAAATTGTTGACGATATTATGTATTTTCCGTTGATTGTAGAACGTTCAGCTTCATCGTCAGAAACTGATTGCGCCTACTCTGTAAAAAGTTGATTATTTTGCTGTAACTCTTCCATTAATTGTTAACTTGCTCTAAAAATCGTTGACGATATTATGAGTTTTCCGTTCGTCATAGACTGTTCAGCATCATCGTCAGAAAAGCTTGCTTTGAATTCTCCAGAAAGGTGGCAGCGGTGTAGATCTCTTCGTATATGTATTTAAATGATGTGACAAGTCAAGTGGCACGCTGTCCTTTATCTCTTGCAAAAATTAGAAGTTGTTTTTATCCATCCAGATTGATAATAAATGTCAATAAGAAGTATCTTTTAGGTTATTGCTGCAATTCATTCCAACTTTCATCTTTTTTTCAGTTTCCATAAAAGATTCTAAAGCCGACGAACTGAAAAAGGTATGTTCAAGTTCTATTAGAGAAATTGCTTTATTTTCAATAAGACTGTCATTTCTTGCTTATTAACTGCAATTTAGATGTTCTGGGACTGATTTCAATAATATTTTTTCTGTATTATTTCACAAAAATGGCTTTTTATAATTTATGAATTTTTTCCAGCTCCTGAACCAAGATGACAAAAGTGCGGAAGGCTCGGGTCCTAAGAAACCCAACATCGATGTCGATCAGAACAAATCTGTAGGGAATCAGCAGGATAAGTCGAGTGAGGAGGATAAGGACAAACCTGCAAAGCGGACAAGGAGCAAGTCTCCCAATACTAAAAGAGACAGGTCGCCTAAGCGAAGTCGTAATATGTCACCTGTACGACGGCGAAGCAGATCTCGAGATCGACAAGGACGCTGGTCTCGGGATCGCCGAAGGAGTAGATCTCGGGATCGGCATTCAAGAAGATCTAAAGATCGGAGAAGAAGCAGATCTAGGGATCAAAGGCGTAGCAGATCTAGGGATCAACGGAGAAGCAGGTCGCCTGATGCAGGCAGAAGCCGATCTCGCGATCTTCGTAGAAGTAGATCCCCGGTACGTGATTCATCTTCTGTTGTTAAGAGCAGCAAGTCTCCTACGAACCAAGCCCCGACCATGGCAGATGCCGTCAAGGTTATGAGTCTTGGCGACGTTGACGTGACAGGACACAACCTCATCGTGACGTGTGGAGACAAAGTTCTGACGAAGCTCTTCGTCTCAGAGCTTCACAAGGTCTTTAAAGGAACCAAAGCGCCTCAGCTGCGCACTGGGGTTGGTGAGTCATATCAAGACCGAAAAAAGTCTACGGGATTTGCAACCACACAATCAAGTATCTTTTGCACTGTGGGAGTTTCCGAGGCATTTACAACAATAATTTTCCTACTTATCTTGTGTTTACAAAAATTGATGTTTTTGTATTGATTTTTTTTTTGTGCCGTCATCTTTCTAAGATGATATATGTGATGATGTCTGATTTGTAAACTTTGTGCTTCGCAATTTCTATTCTGAGTGGAAAATTCCGTTTTTTCTTTAGACGATTAGTTTTTAACAAAATTTTATCTGCCGGACCATTATCTTTAATAACTAATTTAATTTAATTGGTGTTTTAATTGCTTGAAACGAAAATATTACAGCTTGCTTTATCAAACGTTCATTTCTTGTTTTTTCATCTATTATCATTTGAGGCTAATGAACATTTTTGGGAGGCCAAAGACTAGAACAGTTTAACTTGTACTCTAAACTTATCTCGTAATCCGTGTACAGAACGAATCATTTAGAATTAAACTCATTTTAGAAAATAAAGGGTGATTAAATATTAATAAACTATATTATTACTAATAATTAAATTAATAGTTAGTGATTAAATTAAATAATTCATGCGATTAAATATTAATTAACTATATTATTATGGTAATTAAATGAATGGTTAGTGACTAAATCAAATAATTCATGTGATTAAATATTAATGAACTATATTATTATAGTAATTAAATTAATTTGATTTTTTCGGAAAAATTGATAGAAAACGTGAAATTCATAGAAAACGGACAAAATAGGGGGTCCTGTAGAAATCTATCTCCTCCTAGGGTTTTCAAGCCACAACATAGAGACGCATATCATTCGATGCGTGAAGACCATCCCAATCGAGTAACGAAGCCCGATTTTTGATTTTTGCCTTAGTTTCTCTTTTACACGCATTTTTTCATTTTTTCTCATTTATAGTAATAGTAATTTATCTAATTTATAGTAATAGTAATTGTCTCTAATTTATAGTAATAGTAATTGTACTACTTAATTACAATTATTCATTATCAATAATTGAGTAATATTTAATGATCAGGGGGGGAAGTTGTGAAAAAAGTAATTGATAGTAATTGTCCTAATTAAGTAACAATTATTCATTATCAATAATTAAGTGATAAGTAATAAATACAGGGAGAAAGTTGTGAAAAAAGTAATAAATAGTAATTGTATTAATTAATTAACGATTATTCATTATCAATAATTAATAACGGGGGGATTTTAAAATCCAAAAGGATTTCAATAGTTTATGTGTATTGGTTGTGTAAGCCCTGGTTGGTTGTGTAAGTCGAGGTAAGGCGATTGTTGGAGCCCGATATAAGATTTCAAAATAATTGAATAGTTTATGTGTATTGATTGTATAATTGTTGGTTGCAGATTTGGCTCGCAGCAAGGTGCCGGAGCACCATCTCACCCCCTACATGCCGCAGCTCGAGACCTGCACTCACGACTACGACAACCGCGCGGCCGCCCTCATCAGCGAGACCATCAGCAAGGGTTAGTTCTATAATAAGATATTTTTGAATGATATTAGGTATTCTGCTCTAGAATAATATTGTGTTTTAACGTTCAATTATGGTTAAATTTTCTTCTTGTCTTGAGACCATCAGCAAGTGTTAGTTCTATAATATGCTATTTTTAATTGACATTATTTTGCTCTAGAATAATTATTGTGTTTTGTTTTAACGTTGATTTAGCGTTTAATTATGCTTTAATTTTCTTCTCGTCTTGGTGCAGGTTCATTTGCAAAATCTAAACTTGTGTTTCAATTCTTTCCTTCTCTTTCCCTGTTATTTCTGTTTCGTAATTCTTTGTTCTTATATACTTTAAATTTTTCAACAGATCATTTCACACTAATTAAACTTCATTGATGTGCAGGCTTGGACGTATTTTGGTACAGAACTGAGAAATGCACAGTGCGTAACTGCCCGCGCATGCGCTGTGCGAGCTACCATGACGCACAAGAGCGGCGGAGGGACATTAATGGCTTGGACGTTTTTTGGTACAGAACTGAGAAATGCACAGTGCGTAACTGCCCGCGCATGCGCTGTGCGAGCTACCATGACGCACAAGAGCGGCGCAGGGATATTAAAAAACACTTCTACCGGTATTTAAGAACTAATAACTAGTGTTTCTTGTTCTTATTTGCTTGAAATTGGTAATCGATTGCTTTTAATTGATACTTGCACTATTTATCTGGGTTTTAACCGCAACCGTATGTATTTTTGTATTTCTCTTGATTGTACTCGCATTCATTAAGCTTTGAACTGATGATGGAGCTGGTGCCCGAAATATTTTCAATTAAATTATTGTGAATTAATCTGCAATTTTCTTTGCTTTTTGATTCTAGTTTAAATACGCATAACGGTACCTATATCTAGTTCGTGATTGGTGGTTTATCTTAAAAAATGTCATCACTTATTTGTTTATCTTATAAATTCGTCACTTATTCGTTTATCTTAAAAATTCATCAGTTAATTATTCGTTTATCTTAGAAAGTTGTCAGTTATTTGTTTATCTTAAAAAGTCGTCAATTATTTGTTTATCTTAAAAAATTGTCAGTTATTCGTTTATCTTATAAAGTCATCAGTTATTCGTTTTTCTTAAAAAGGCATCAGTTATTCGTTCATCTTATAAAGGCATCAGTTATTCGTTTATCTTAAAAATTCATCAGTTAATTATTCGTTTATCTTATAAAGTCATCAGTTATTCGTTTTTCTTAAAAAGTCGTTAGTTATTTGTTTATTTTAAAAAGTCATTAGTTCTTCGTTGGTGGCTATGGAAAGCACGTACTTACATATTTTAGAACCTAGCCACTGGTTGCTGAGAACTCCTGTAAAGATGAGATGACAAATGAAACAAGAACTGAGCTTTGGTTTGACAGTCGTAGTGATGTCAAGTCCACTTACGTTGGTTTTGTTGCGGTTCGCTTCAACAATCAAAAAACTCACAAGCAATCAACACTTTATCCGTGGCCTGGATAAAGTGTTGGTGATGGATGGAACTACCCTCTGAAAAATTTAAACTTCACACAAATTTGTATGGGTTAGCCTTACCTAGTTTTGTCCCACAAATGAACGTAATCAGTGCTACATAAAGAAAGTGTCACTTAAACAATATAACCCATTGATTATTCTGCGTCTTTTCTCAGTTTGCCCTTACCCTCGTGTACGTAGATTTATGCCATGTAATGAAAACGGTCAGTTTACCGGTGACTGATGAACAGACTGTGGTCAGTCTGCCCTGCAATATTAATTGAATATTTTGTCTGCCTTGTCTAAGATGAACACATGACCTACCTACACTCATCGATGATCATCTCGTGGTCACTCCAATTTGGAGAAATGAAGTCTCCGTGTTGAATTTAACCCTTAATTCTTAATTCATTTGCGTGCAAATGAAGGAAAATGAAAGACTGCTGCCATGGATTCAGCAAATATTCCTGCATTGTTTATTTTAATGCACAGAGTCGAAATGTGCAAGACTGCCACTCTAGGGCTGCCTCGGATGTAAACTTTATTATTGCATTTATTTATGTGCCTAGAGAGGAAATGTGCTAGACTGCCTCAGATATAAACTTTCATACTGTATTCATTTATGTGCCTAGAGAGGAAATTTGCAAGACTGCCTCATATTTAAACTTTAATACTGTATTTATTTGCGTTTTCATAGAGAGGAAATGTGCAAGGCTATCTTGGATGTAAACTTTAATATTGTATTTATTTTTATGCATAGAGAGGAAATGTGCAATACTGCCAGCCTGGGGTTACCGTGTCCCCTACGCATGGCGTGCCGCTACGCACACACCCCAGACGAGGTGCAGCTTCATCCCAAAAACTTCCTACGCAACGTCTGCACCCTGCCCGCCGTGGCTGGTGTCTGCTCCAGCACTGACTTCTGTCGCAACTCTCATCCTGGTAACTTAACTTTTAACTCAACTTAACATCCTGGTAACAACTCTCATCCTGGTAACTTAACTTAACTTAACCCTCATCCTGGTAACTTAAACTTATAACTGCCCGCCGTCGCTGGCTTGTGCTCCAGCACAGACTTCTGTCGCAACTCTCATCCTGGTAACTTAACTTAACTTAACTTAACTTAACATCTTGGTAACAACTCTCATCCTGGTAACTTAACTTAACTTAACTTAACATCTTGGTAACAACTCTCATCCTGGTAACTTAACTTAACTTTTAACTTAACTTAACATCCTGGTAACAACTCTCATCCTGGTAACTTAACTTTTAACTTAACTTAACATCCTGGTAACAACTCTCATCCTGGTTAATTATAATGGCAATTTGGGTTATTGTAATATACGTAATTATAATATAATATAATTACCATGATAAGTAATTATAATGGTAATTTTATTATGGTAATCATTGTTAATGCGTTCTAGCACCGAGTTTTACTGTTATTCCCATCCAAGTTTGTTTCAGACGCCCAAATGACTCGATTTTGTGCGAACAAAATTTATTTACGGATTACCTTCAAGTGTTTATTATGGTAATTATGCTAGCCATCCATATTGCTTGGACCGCGGATTTGTTAAGATGATTTGTAGTTGCAGAGCGCCGTGTTCACGGGTTTGAACACGGCGTTCAAGACCGTTCATATATGTGACCGTTGGTCTCAGCTTCGTGGCCACTTTGTTATTGCAAGTCTTGTTATTAAAATTTTATGCATGTCTTGTTATTAAGACGTTATGCAGGTCTTGTTATTATTAAGACTTCCTTAACTTGCGCCTGCTAAAGACTTAACGTCCATGCAAGCATCTCTAGCCCGAGTGTTTTCTAGACAGTCATATCATTTTCGTCTTTCTGAGACAGGAGTGCTGTTTAAAGATCCTTAGAAGCTTCAGCACGTTCGACAAGCTTGTTATTATTATCAAATAACTTCGATCGATTTTCGTCTTTCTTAGACAGGAGTGTTGTTTAAAGATCCTTACAAGCTTCCGCACGTTCGACAAGCTTGTTATTATTATCAAATAACTTCGATCGATAAACGTAAAAAAAATTAGGTGTATATCCTAATAACATTATTCTATTCACTTTTATAAGGTATCAAGTACCGAAAATTTCTTAATTTTTCTATTTTCTCGCGATTTATTCCGTGTGCTTATTAAACAATATATTTTATAAATTATACCACAGATATAAACTTTATTTTAGTCTTTCTTCCAGGATACCAATGGTTTGATACTAATTTTCATTTGCTGAAAAATCTGTAAATTTGTTGTTTATACGCAGGATCACCAGACTTTTTCTTTCACGAGTCCTGGGAAGATGTTTACGTCACTGGTCTGGAGAAGTCCTTCCTGTACCTCGCGGGTGCCATCAGGAATCTGTTCAGGGTGCGCGGCTACTCTAAACGTGAGTCCTGCGTATATATTTGCCTTGTGTAGCAGATATGAAATTTAGTATCACGTCCGGGCAGGGTGACCCAGTGGTTACAGTTCAGAGTACCAAGATTGGAGCAGAGAGGCACGGGTTCGATCCCAGCTCTGTGCGCCAGTTTCTGGTCAGAATCGGCGAGGAGGCCGGGCGGTTAAGCACAGCAGAATTGTAGCAGTGAGTTGCTAGTTCGAGACTGCAACAAGCGGTGAATGTTCTGCGATGATGAGAATCGGCGACAGGAATACGGCCTAATAAACGCTGAAACCGCTACCGCTATTTATAACATGACGTAAATTAGCGATAACATGTAAATAGCGATATAACATGTAAATTAGCGATAATCTCGTGGATAAAATCACGCTGAAAGTATGGTAATCTCATTGATGACATGATGGTGAACATATGAGCTCCACATCAATAACATGACGGTGAACATGCAATTATTTTATCAATAAAACTACGCTGACAATATGATGAATTTTGCACCAACAATATGATGAATAATCTTACGGTATAATCTGAATAATATAAAGAATATAAGTGTCTATGTCGTGGTCGCGGACTTGTCAAAAATGTCATTACTCTCTACATGTTTTATGTGTTTTTTTATGTGTTTGTGATCAGTTCATGATTGCTTATTGAACCTTACATAGTCTTTTCTGCACAACTTTTTCAGCGACATTCTTTGCATGCCCTAAATTTATTGAGCGGAACTGATACTCTCAGAGGCTAAAATTGAGTAATTTTGTTGATATTTGACGCTCCTAGTCCTGAAATTTGCTTCTTGTTTGCACTGAAATGACCCGACAAATGCATGGACTCCGGCATTGTAGTAAAGTTCTGTTTATTGGAATTTCGGTCATCTTATTATAATTGGCTAACATAACGTTTTTTACTGCACATAATCAATAAGAGGGAGTTGAGATTGAGTAAAATTCTGGTACACAGGAGCGTGGCATTTTAAAAATTGTACGTGTACGAGTTTTTTGTTTAGATAAATACTTGATGACGTGTTGTTTATGTTATTTAATTACTGACGACGTGTTGTTTATGTTATTTAATTAATGATGACGTATTGTTTATGTTATTTAATTACTGACGACGTGTTGTTTGTTATTTAATTACTGACGACGTGTTGTTTATATTATTAATTATTGATGACTTATCGTTTATGAATTAAATCACTAATGACGTGTCGTTAATCCAATTAAATTACTGATGACATTTTGTTTATGGAATGAAATTATTGATGAAGTGTCGTTTACTTAACTAAATTATTGATGACTTGTCGTTTATTTAATTAAATTACTGACGACGTGTTGTTTATGTAATTAAATTACTGATGACGTGCCGTTTACTTAATTAACACGTAACGGTTAACGGTTAACGGGTAACGGTTAACGGTTACCAGTTAACGGTTAATGGTTAACGGTTAACACGTTGACTACGATTGCTTCATCTTGTACAATTATTTCTTTTTTTTGTACTTTTTTTAAGCAGGGTTGCTAGACGTTCATTTTTCCGGACAAATTCCGTGATTTAGTTTTTCTCAATTGCGTTGGCCGCCTAAAATTTATGATAGGGGTACTTCCTAATTAAATTTTAAATACTGCAAAAAGAAAATACATGGAATTTTTATAGTGGAATCTACAAATAGATTAGTATATCGGCCTTTTGTTATCGGATTTGGCCGATTTTATGCAACCTGAATTATGTACCACTACCTCCTGGAGAAATACATTTCGTGGTACGCATATGTACCAATACGTAGTCAACGTGTTAAATTATTAATGACTTGTCGCTTACTTAATTAAATTACAGACGACATGTCGTTTACTTAATTAAATTACTAACGACATGTCGTTTACTTAATTAAATTACTAACGACATGTCGTTTACTTAATTAAATTACTAACGACATGTCGTTTACTTAATTAATTTACTAACGACGTAGATTCATTGCAGACTGTGGCAGCCAGCCACGGCCACCGCGCGTCGTGTTCGTGACGCCGTCAGAGAAGGTGGCGCAGCGCGCTCGTCTGCTCGTCGTGTCCCTGGCTCTTCGTCACGAGCTGCTCGTCGCTCCTGTCAACTCTGGTGAGGACATCGTCTCTCTGTCAACGTCTCTCTGTCTTGTTANCAAGTATCTTTTGCACTGTGGGAGTTTCCGAGGCATTTACAAAATAATTTTCCTACTACTATTGTGTTTACAAAAAAAAATAAAATTTTTTGTATTGATTTTTTTTGTGTCGTCATCTATCTAAGATGATCTTTGCCATGATGTTTGATTTGGAAACTTTGTGCTTCAAAATTTATATTCTGAGTGAAAAATTCCCTTTTTTTCTTTAGACGATTATTTTTTAACAAAATTTTATCCGTCGAACCATTATCTTTAATTAATTAATTGATTTAATTTAATTGGTGTTTTAATTGCTTGAAACGAGAATATTACTGCTGGCTTCCTTATTCGTTCATTACCTGTATGGGCGCTTAGTCATCTAGTATCCTTCGAGTCCAATGAACATTTTTTGGGTGGCCAAAGACTAGAACAGTTTCACTCCTCCTTTTATCTTATTCTTAGCTTATCTCGTAATCCGTCTACAGAACAAATCGTTTAGAATTATTCTCATTTTAGAACATAAAGTGTGATTAAATATTAATGAACTATATTAATACTACTCATTGAATTAATAGTTTATGACTAAATTAAGTAATTCATGGCAGGTTGGTTGTTCCAAACTGGTAGTGCAGATCTGACAAGGATCTTCCTGCGGCTCGTCAACAACTTACGTCTTCTGGACGCCAGGATAACTGTGCACCTCACCTCGGCCTCTGGTGGGACCTGCAGCGTCTTACGCTTCAATTAGCAATTATTAAGTGATAAATACAGGGAAGAGGCTGTAAAAAAGTAATAAGTATTAATTGTACTAATCAATTACCAATTTTTCATTATCAATAATTAAGTAATAATAACGGGGAGAACGTTGTAAAAAAATCAATAAATAGTAATTGTATCAATTAATTAGCAATTATTCATTAGCAATAATTAAGTAATATTTAATGATCACGAGGAGGAAGTTGTGAAAAAGTAATAAATAGTAATTGTACTAATTAATTACCAATTTTTCATTATCAATAATTGATTGATAAGTAATAAATATGGGAGAAGGTTGTGAAAAAAGTAATAAATAGTAATTGTACTAATTAAGTAACAATTAATCATTATCAATAACTAAGTGATAAGTAATAATTACGGGAAGAAGGTTTTAAAAAAAAGTAATGAATACGGTATTAATTGTACTAATTTATTATTATTAATTCATTAACAATAAATAAGTAATAAATAATAATAACGGGCAGTAGTTTGTAAAAAAACAATAAGTATTCATTGTACTAATTAATTTAACAATTGTATATTATCAATAGTTAGGTAATAAGTAGGTAATAGTAAGAGGGAGAAGATTGTTGAAAAGTAACAATAAAGTATTGTAGGTACTAATCAACTACCAATTTTTCATTATCAATAATCAATGAATATTGATTACCGGTATTAAGTTTAATTTTATTCTTTGCGTCAAAGTAAGTGGTTTTCCTGTATGAATGATCAGTGTCAACTGTACTTAAGAAAATCTTACTCACTTGTCAACTTGGCTCTGTATTTAAGAAGATATTTAAAATTTTATATGTTTTGATTGTCGAAGCTCTAATGTTAAATTAAAAAAAAAAAATTGGTGTGTAAAGAGGCAAATGTCTGATATAAAAAATTATTTAATAAATCGTGTTTATTAATAGACGTTGGCAAATTTATAATTTTTAATGTTATATAATACATCGTTTGTATCGATTATTGGAGTTAGATTTAAAATTACTAAATAATTCGATAGTTTATGTGTATTGATTTTGTAATTGCTGGTTGCAGATTTGAGTCGCGGTAAGGCGATTGTTGGAATCAGATTTAAAATTGCAAAATAATTGAATAGTTTAGGTGTATTGTTTGTTTAATTCCTGGTTGTAGAGTTCATTCGAGGTAAGGCGATTGTTGGAGTCCTATTTAAGATTTGAAAATAATGGAAAAATAGTTTATGTGTATTGATTGTCTAACTCTTGGTTGCGGCGATTGTAAGGCGATTGCTGGAGTCAGATTTAAAATTTCAAAATAATTGAATAGTTTATGTGTATTGATTGTGTAATCCCTGGTTGCAGATTTGGCTCGCAGCAAGGTGCCGGAGCACCATCTCACTACCATCTTTACGCTCTTATTTTGTAATTTTTTATCTATTTTATAATTTTTTACCTATTTTATATTTTTTTTTATTTCATAATTTGTTATCTATGTACAACTTAGTTTATTATACCGCACAGTTCATTTCCATAATTATGCTGTAACTGAATTTTTTGTTTTTCAAAATGTGTTATCTTTGTATACCAATATTCGTTATAACTTTCAAATTTCTTTATATTGAGATTTGTGCTGTAATATTTCAAATTATTTGATATATCTCTGCACCTGTGTTACTTACTACACAATAATGTGCATTTATTGTGCTGATGTGCTCCAACAAATATTTTTCTCTGGTGATGGATTTAAAAATTTATTACCGTGTCGAGAAGGCCGAGATTACCCACATAAAAGTAACATTTTCTACCCAAAATTAAACGTAGATTCATTCTGTACCTTAGCTTTCCATTTTAACGTATAAAAACTATTTTTTTATTTATTACTTGAAATATTTATGTTCTGAACTTGTCACGAGGTTTTGGGTAATCAACATTTCACTACATTACAGGTCTGGTACTCAACATTTTACTACATTACAGGCCTGGTACTCAACATTTTACTACATTACAGGCTCGGTACTCAACATTTTACTACATTACAGGCCTGGTACTCAACATTTTACTACATTACAGGTCTGGTGCGCAAGACATCAGAATTCAACTTCAAGAAGTTATGTGAGCGGTTGCTGTCTGATCCTGTCGGTGAGTGCGTCGAAGTGATCCCTTTTATATTCATAATTATAGTGGATTAATAGCTCATGGTGTATTTTATAATTCGTTGAATGAAGCAGGTAACAGCTTTGGTACAGTAAAGGTATCATGAGAATATAGTATTTTTGCAAATGTGGAATACTTTCATCTTTATACAAGTCTTATAATAACCTGTTCGAAGCTCGTGCAAGTTATTATTTTATTGTATTATCTTGTCTATTTTGTTTTTTATAATGTTTAATTTTCTAAGCAGGCAAAGTGAACAAGGTGGCCGTGTGCTCAGAAATCAAAATGGGTGATCTGGAGAGAGCCCAGTCATGGCTTGCTGCATTCTTCGTATTTGGAGTTCGCAGTGAGTATTTAGTATATATACCTAATATCTTGCCGTGTTTAACTGTGCTATGGATGATAGATTTCTCTCAGAATCTTCTTTGGCTTGCAAATTTCCATCTTTTGGCTTGAACTTGATTCATTTGGTTGTTGTGAGGCTTGATACGTCAGTCGTAAAAAAAATTAAACTGTTAATTTCGGACTTGATATTTTCTACGTTTTTCTTAAAATTGTTGGTGAAATTCAATTCAGAACTGATGTACGCTAGTTGTGTAAAGACCTATGAAATTCTATCACATTTGAACGTTAATTTCAAATAAATCACCTCGATTACCATCCTTTCATGTTCTCTGTCTTCAATTCTCGAGTAATTTTTAACTGTTTATCTCAGATGCAAGTGCGGCTCAAGTTCCAGCAAAGCCAGCTGCACCTAATTTGCCTCTAGCTGCAGGCGGTCCAATAAATGCTGGCGTTGCATGTGGTGTAGAACAACGTTCTGCTCATGGCGGTCCAGAACAACATTCTGCTCATGGCGGTCTAGAACAACGTTCTGGTCGTGGCGGTCTAGAACAACGTTCTGGTCATGGCGGTCTAGAACAACGTTCTGGTCGTGGCGGTCTAGAACAACGTTTTGGTCGTGGCGGTCTAGAACGTTCTGCTCATGGCGGTCTAGAACAACGTTTTGCTCATGGCGGTCTAGAACAACGTTCTGGTCGTGGCGGTCTAGAACAACGTTCTGCTCATGGTGGTCTAGAACAACGTTCTGCTCATGGCGGTCTAGAACAACGTTCTGGTCGTGGTGGTCTAGAACAACGTTCTGCTCATGGTGGTCTAGAACAACGTTCTGCTCAGCCGAGCAGTGACCCTGAACATTTGAGGAGCGTAACTCAAGCGTCGGTATCCCAAGGCACAACTTCTGACCGCCCCAGCGATGGTAAGGCGCCGACCAAAGAATCTCTTGCTAATGATTTCTATGTTGAAAAGCAGGAGCTCATCAAGAGACTTGAAACAAGTTACGAAAAGTTTATAGACAAACCTGAATTACATCCTAAATACGCTTCAGTACTTGCGGCTTTTCAAAGCGAAGAAACGAACCTGACGTGGTTAGAGCGATGGGTTCAAGAACTCCGGACTCTGCGCATGGAAGACTACAAGGCAGAACTTGTGAAACTCGTCAAAAAATACAAAGAATTGTCGATTAAGCTTAAAAGCTCAACATCTAGCGACGCAAGGCCAGCTACTACTTCTAAAGCATCTAGTTCGCAGTCATCTGATGGATCTGTTTGGCGTAGTGGAGCTGAAACAATACAAGAGGAAGTTTTGAGAAACACTCAAAATGCTTTCAATAGGAGCAAGGATATGCAGCCTCGTGCTCAATCTCCTCAGAGCAAAGAAGTCCAGCAAGGAATAAATGTGACACGACACCAGGCATCGCAACCTTATGACAATCAGGGAGAACTTCACCAGGATCGTAAGAGCGCTGCCCCGTCACACAGAGGAAACGTTCATCAAGGAATGAACCTTGGTCGTTCATCCATGCCTTTTGACCCGCGAACTGCTGGTCAAGACTTCCAGCCTCCTCAAGACTTGCGACATCAAGATTTGCCATCCGCTCCTGGCTTCCGTCCTTCTGAACGTTTCCAATCACCCGGTGATTGGAAGTTTCAACAAGATTTTCGAACGCAACAAAATTTGAGGCCACCTCAAGGCTTCCAGGGGCCACCAAATTTCCGACCCGCGCAGGACATCCGACCTCCTCAAAATTTACAATCTAAAGACTTTCACGCACCTAGGAATTCGCGGCCATTTCCAAATGAGAGACCACCTCGAGATCCTCGACTTGCAGGCGTCAGACCTTCCACCAACCAACGCCTTCCTCACAATGAAGAACCTCAAACCTCATTGTCATCTGGTCCACCTCCACCTTCTTCAGAAGAGGGGTTCTCGGTCCCGAATGTTTCTGCCGCGACACCGGAGCAGCACTACAACGTTGAGCCCATTTATGACCTCCTACTTAAGCTTTCGCCTTGCCTGGGTGCAGTGGCGCCTGTTTTACACACCATGATTGCCGTGGCTAGGAAGCGCGGCTCGAACACCACTGAGGCCTTCGCGCTCTTCACGGACCCTGAAATTGTGAAGCTTCTCACGATGGCCATACAGAAGTTTACTGCCGAGGCTAAGAGCACCGTCGAGCCTGACATGCGAAGGGATCTGCAGTTTGGGGTCAAAGGTGCCCAGTTTCTTCTTAAGTACGCGCAGCAAATAAAAAATGGTTCTTAAGTAGATTGATTCCACAATTCGTGCAGTAGTGAACGTCAGGTCCCGTATTCTAACTGTAGTCATTTGCTTCGTAAACCCTGTCCTTTTTGAAAATGGTTTTGCTTCTGTTGCATTGACGGGAGTTCTCATATTATATTTAGAGAATGTGAGTATACATAAACATTGATGGTTACAATTTTTGTTTTAAAATTTTTTATTAGCATATTTGTCAGTGGAGTGATATCTTTCTTACGGGAAATGTAGAGATGCACTCGTTGATCGATTTATCTGAATATAAATTCATAAGTCCGTAAACTTTGTTAATGATGAAAATGAATCTCCACCTAAATATTTTAAAAATTGATTTGATCATAATTGTGAGTGTTTTATTTAGCTTAGTCATCATTTTCGGACATTAATCTTAATGCTTCAGTGAAATGTACGGAATGTAAGATATTAGTTATTTCCTCCCATTTTTAAGTAGATTGATTCCACAATTCGTGCAGTAGCGAACGCCAGGTCCCGTAGGCTAACTTGTAGTCATTTGCTTCGTAAACTCTGTCCTTTTTGAAATTGGCTTTGCTTCTGTCGCATTGACGGGAGTTCTCGTATTATATTTATAGAATGTTGAGTGTAGATACACATTCATGGTTAAAATTTTTGTTTTAAAATTTTTTACTAGCATATTTGTCAGTGGAGTGATTTCTTTTTTACGGGAAATGTAGAGATGCACACGTTGATCGATTTATCTGAATATAAATTCATGAGTCCGTAAACTTTGCTAATGATGAAAATGAATCTCCACCTAAATATTTTAAAATTTGAGTTAATCATAATTGTGAGTGTTTTATTTCGCTTAGTCATCATTTTCGGACATTAATCTCAATGCTTCAGTGAAATAAGTGTACGTAATGTAAGATATTAGTTGCTATTTCTTCGCATTGCCGTTGTATGCTGCATGTACCCGTCAACAATTAAAACTTCAAACAGGCTTGTTGTATTGATCTCCTACTCAAGATTGCATTATACAGATTTGATCATAACGATGTCAAACTTTTATTCATGTTCGCGTTTGGTTAGATAGTTTTTCAGCTTTTTAGCGCATTTTCTCATTTATGGAAAAAGGCGCTATTGTGCTCGTCATATCCGTCTGTCTGTCCATGACTTCACGTTTTCGTCGACGAGAAATTGCGCTCTCTGTCACTCACTGCAGTGAGTACTGAGTTATTATTTTTTTTTTGTTGGCTCTGGATCACTCCATGTCAGATTCGTGTGAAAGTCGCAGTCTGGTTAGTTACCCCTCAATTTTATGAATATTTCCGTCGCTCTCTTTTTCAACTCAAACGTCAGTTGATTATTTTGTTCGATCTTATAATGCCCTAAAAACACGTTTTTAAAAATAAGTTAATCAACCATGCTTTACTAAATTTTTGCGCAAGCGTTGCATGCGAATTAGATATTAATTTTAAAATATTATTATATAACTATAGGCAAGGTATTAATGAGAACACTAATTAATTTCAGAATGAATTTTGAGTAGCATGACTTCTTTTTTACAGGCGTTCAGTTTATTTGTGCAAATTCGACCTAATAAATTCATGGAAGCGAATAAGATGAGATTTCCTTAACCCTAGTCGGACCACATACAGTGGGGAAAATAAGTATTTAGTCAGTCAACAATTGTGCAAGTTCTCCCACTTAAAGTAATGAGAGAGGCCTGCAATTGACATCATAGGTAGACCTCAACTATAAAAGACAATATGTAAAAACATTTTGAGAAAATCATTTTGTTGGACTTTTAAAGATGTTATTTACAAATGATGGTGGACAATAAGTAAATGGTCAATAACAAAAGTGCATCTTATAACTTTATCGCATATCTTTCGTTGGCAATGACAGAGGTCAAACGTTTTCTGCAAGGTTGGTACACACTGTTGCTGGCCTGTTGGCCCATTCCTCCATGCAGATCTCCTCTAGAGCAATGATGTTTGGGGGCTGTCGGAGAGCAATACGGACTTGCAACTCCCTCCAAAGGTATTCAATGGGGTTGACATCGGGAGACTGGCTAGGTCACTCCAGGACTTTGAAATGTTTCTTACGAAGCCACTCCTTTGTTGCCCTGGCAGTGTGTTTGAAATAATGCAGTCTAATAAGGGCTTAAAACGTCTGAAGAAAAACTGTGCCACGATTCACTTCCAGTCTGCCGTGACCATCATCGTTTTATGATACTGGATTTGATGGCTCGCTGTCTCTGCTTAACTCCACGGTAGATGCAAGCCACGAAGATGAACGTGAATAGCTGTCAAAAACAGGAGCAAGGTTACTTATTTATTTTCGAAAATATGTCAACAGATTTCGTAGTGATTAGAGCGGCAGACTGTCTTCGAAATTCGTATTCCTATGTGAATTATTCACCATGTCATTGTTACAATAAAAAAGCCGATACTTTAATCCTTATAACTTTATTGATACATTCCATATCTGGCAATAAGACAGCCAGCAACGCATGTGCTAATAGATTTGCGAATGATAGCAACGAACAATAGATAATACAGTAAATAGATATATCTCGCAAATAGATATATTGATAATACTAATAATCTGAATGCAGTTATTCACCTGCAGAAAGCAAATGCAGAGCGTTAAGCCGCTGGTGATGCCGGTGTAGAGCTCCAGAGACCGCGACATGATCTCTGCACAACTGTTCTTGTACTGATTTCCTGTGATCTGTCCAGAGATAGTGGATTAAATTTTATGAATTTTTAAATGATTAGCTTATTATATAAGTTTATATTTAACTAAAGATGCAAATTAGTTGCTGAAATGTTGTAATAGTTGGTTGGTACTCGAAAATTCTGTAGACTACTGCTCAGTACTCAATTTTGAATGAAACCAATTATCTAACAGAAACCTGCTAAATTCAAAATGTCTACGGAGAAAAATAGTATGCATTGTAATGTCAGCTGTATGATTGAACCATCAAATGTCATCACCGTACGGTTTGCTGCCATTTCTCCGTACCATATAACGAGTGAACTATAAGACTGAATGTTTTGTTATATTATTATAAATAAAATCATTAATTTCATCCAGAGAATCAAAAGAATTGTCTAAACGAGATATGAAGACAGCTAGGGGGGCCCAGTGGTTACAGTTCAGAGTATTAGGATTAGAGCAAAGAGTTGCGGGTTCGATCCCAGCTATCTGTGTGACAGTTTCTGGTCAGAATTGGCGAGGAGGCCTGACGGTTAAGCATAGTATAATTCGAGCAGTGAGTTGCGTGTTCGAGACCGCAACAAGCTGTGAATGTTCAGCGATGTTAAGAATCTGCTACAGACCTACGGCCTAGTAAGCGCTGAAACCGCTATTATCTATTATAAATATCTATGCACATTTTACGCATATCTAGGTCATTCGGACCCAGTTTGGCCCGGCAAAGACGTTTCTGAGGTACATACATATAGTGTCACTTGTTGGACACTTTGACCCATTCCTTGCTTTGAGTGTTCGTTAAATTGAAGATATGTTTTTGTTTTGAGGTGTGCAATCTATATATACCTTAGATTAGATATATATACTTAGATTATAAACACTATAAACAGAAAGAAACTAGTGAAAAATGATGTCACTAACCTGATTCCTGCACGTGTTGGGCACGGGCATGTGAATGTCAACCCAGTCGCTGGGGAGAGCAGCTCCACAGCACCCGATCTGTGGCAAGGAATTTTCACTGTTCCCTTTATCACGTTTTACTGCTTTTCACTTTCAGAGCTGTTAGACTGTTAGGTATCAATTAAAACCAGTTCAGGCAAGGGGCTTTATGGACTAGTTTCCAGTGCTCCTATAAGAATAAATAAGAAAGAGAAAGATCTGTGACACGAGACGTTCAGCGCAAGCAAGGAAATTAGAAGACTTTACCCAAATAGCTATACACTTTTTGCTCTCTTTAGGTCATCCTGACCCAGGCAAGAGGTTGTAGCAGTATTATTCGTAGAAAGTGTGTCACTATTTGGACAATTTGACCCATTCATTTATGAGTATAGTTCCGTATATTTAGCTTCGTGTTCTATGTACATTGTAAGACTGCCGCTGATAATCTGGTTAAAGCGATCATATATAAAAATAAAAATAACTGTAAAATAAGAACAGGACAATTATTATTATGCAATTGTTATAGACACAATGCGGACTCAAAAGAAGTATGGTTCATCAAACAAAGATGCACGTATATTTACACTGCTATTTATTTGCAATTGACTGTATGGAATTGTTGGTGTGTCAGCTGTTACTCAGCGGAAAATCTTTTTTTTTTTCAACCAATATATTGTGAATCAGCGCCCATTAAACGGCTTTAAAATGCATAATTCATTCCATGCACAATAACAAATAATATATTTATATAATTGTTGATGACTCACCGTATTTAGATCGGATATAAGTATTAAAATCACTTGGCTGCTCAAGTCGCAAATTGAACTGACGATGGAGCTTCACTCCGAAACATTTTCTCCGATAAGAAATGGTGAACTTTTTGGCTATTTTCTTTACTTTTAAATTCCTTGATGACTCACGTATTCCTGTATGACATCGACACGATACTTGGCCACCATGTCGTACTGGTAGCGGTACATGTAGTCTTGGAAAGTTTCTTTAATGCTTGGGTAGGCGTGCGTGGCTTCCAAGCCTTGGCAGAGGAGGTAAACTGCACCGCCCAGGTCGATCGAAAAACTGATCACACTCAGCGCCAGGTACTGGGATATCATGGAGAATTGAATTATCATCAACTGAAATTAATAAAATAATTAACTGTGATAGTGAAAAGATATTTCGAAGTTTGGATCAGCCAGTATCATTTATCAAGCCTTGGCAGAGAAGGTAAACTGCGCCGCTCAAGTCGATCGAAAAACTTACCACGCTCAGCGCCAGGTACTGGGACATCATGGAAAATTTTAATTATCATAAATTTAAATTTATAAAATAATCAACTGTGATAAAGAAAAAATAATTCGAAGTTTGGGTCAGCAAGTATCATTTTGCATGGGACTTGCAAGGACGTATTGATTTAATTACCGTAGTAGTTTCTTGAACTGGAATAAATGAAGTCCGATTTATTTAACATTTGGTGAAGTTCAGTAAAATTCATTACTAACCAACCGACTACTATCGAAAACTAGAGAAGGTGAATGCGATAATATGATCAAGGACATGATAACTTAGATAATCTTACAACGAAAACTTTAATGATTTAGATAAGGAATTTTAGATTGGCGCCACTGACCATGAGTAACAAGAAGTAATTAGAATAACTGGTGCCGACTAATCCGGCGACTGAACCAAGCATTAGGATGGTTGAGCCGACCATGATGATGATGTTTGCTGTATAATATTCAGGGAAATCCAGGAAGCCCAAAGAGTTTTTGAGGCCTTCGTCGAATTGGACAAAGAGCCCCATGGAGAACATGCATGAGCCCGCCACCTGTCGGAGAACAAGCGTGTAGTTTGAGTTTGAAATAAGCTTTATTTGTGTTTTGAAATTCAACAGCAAAATATTCATTATCTGAAGTAAATATTTTAATATTAGTAGCAAATACTTGAAACCTCTGGTGACACTTTGCAAAGTCTACGAGCTCATGAGGTAGAATAATCGGAATACGAATTGAAGAACCATCACTAAATTATATGTAAAAATATATATGTTGATTTCTACCAACAGACTATATAATATGAAATATAATATTTAGCATCGTCAATTGTCTTTATTAATAATTAGAAAAGTTTCTGCTCTATTTGTGAAATTTCAATTTTTTATTTTTTTTGCAGTAGGAATCATTCCGCGTGTCGTAGCGATCCCTGCCCTAGCAGAACTGGGGATGCTAAATCCTATTATTGCTGTTGAACATCTTAGTTGTTATAGCTTATTTGTGTTTTGAAATTCAACAGCAAAACATTCATTATCAGAAGCAAATATTTTAATATTAGTAGCAAATACTTGAACCCTCTGATGACACTTTGCAAAGTCTACGAATTCATGAAGTAGAATAATCGGAATAAGAATTGAAGACCAGCACTAAATTATATGTATAAATATATACATGTTGATTTTTACAAACAGACTAAATAATATGAAGTATAATATTTAGCATCATCAATTGTCTTTATTAATAATTAGAAAAGTTTCTGCTCTATTTGTGAAATTTCAATTTTTTATTTTTTTTGCAGTAGGAATCATTCCGCGTGTCGAGGAATTTTGTACGCAAGGGTTTCTGTCTTTTAATATGCTGAAAAATGCATTACAAATTCAAACAATTTAATTCTAATAATCAACTTTAGCGTAGAAAAACATGACGATTTTTCCATGCGTTACCACCACCTTAATTGACGTGTTGATCAAGATCAAAAGTCTCTGGTAGCAGCAAGGCTACTTTAATTTCGCTCCATATTTATGGCCCCATAAATCATCAAATCTGAGCGTCTATTAAGGGCCTTGAGGTTTGTGATTAACCAATGCACCTTGTGAATTTGAAGATAATATTGGTTGCGGCTTCTCCATTTATCTTACCTAAAACCCAAGCTTATAGATAAGTAGTAGGTATGGATAAGTAATGAGCTCCTAACATAATTCGCTTTAATAAGAAATTTTCTTTCTATTCACAATAGTTCATAAACAAGTTGATTAAATGTACTTTGTTAAAATAGACTAGAAATCTTGTCTTTCTCTATTTAAGGTATACTTTCTTTCGAATAGCGTAATTTTCAAGGTCGTTGTCGTACATTTCATCTTCTGCCGTGTGATACATTTATGGTGGTTTTCGTATACGTTTCATATTGAATATTGTAATGGATAAGGTCGTTTTTGTACGCTTGATACTTTATAATATGAAGTTTGGGGTCTTTTCGTACGTTGTTTCGTGCACAATAGTGTTATGTTTGAGATTGTTCTCCCACGTATCATATTAAATAGTGCAATTTTTGAGGTCGGTTTAGTACGTTTCAAATAAAAAAGTTTAAAGTTTGAAGTCGTTTTCTTGCGTTTCATAACTAATAGTGTGATGTTTTAGGTAGAACGCATCTCCTACGCATCAGATTAAATATTGTAATATTTGAAGTCCTTTTTCGCACTTCAGTAGTATGGGGTCAATGGTCCTCTCACAATGCCATTGAGAGCACGCAAATGCGAGTAACCTTTGTGCATATAATGTAAGACATTCATGGAAAAAATATAACTCAGTGCTCACTGCAGTGAGTGACAGAGAGCGCATTTCCTCGTCGACGAAAACTTGAGGTCACGGACAGACGGACGGACAGACAGACAATAATACGGACAGACAGACGGACAGACAGACAGACGGACATGGTGAGCACAATAGTGCATTTTTCCATAAATGAGAAAATGCGCAAAAAATTGTCATATTAAACAAACAGTGACACACTTTCTTACCCATATCACAAAATGAGAACGGACCTTGAAACGATATGCCTTAATACCGGGCCAAAGTGGATCAAGATTACCCACACAAGTGCAAAGAGAGCAGCATTGATATTTGTACAAAATCCCATTCATACATCTGAATGAACTTTAAATCATTGCAGAGCGTTTAATTTTGTATAATAGTGACTTGGTTATCACGAAATCTTTCCTTTGAATTTGTTGCTAATCGTCCAAGCAACGGATACAACGTGCAATAAATTTTGCAGTTGTTAAATTCTACAAAGAAAAACAAAAGGCAAAGCAAAAATGAGCATTGTAAATATAAAAGACAATGGTACTAATTTACAACAATTGTTTACTGTTGACAGTAGAGACCCGCATGAACTAGAGTTTAAAAGCTGTACATTGTACAATATCAAATGTTTAAATAATGCCATGGATCGAAATGCTCCGAATAACTACATGAAAACAGTTTACTAAGTAGCCTATAAAATTATTGTAATTATACACGCCGGAAAAATGTGTGAGAAAAGTTTAATAAGTACCACTGCAAATTAAAGCAATAATACACGTAAGAGAAATGAATGAAATCCGTTTATTCGCAGGTGAAATAAATGAAAGCCGCTTATTGAAAAACTGATACAAAATTACAGGCAAGATGCGTGTGTGTGTGAAGTGTTGAATCAGTTTAATATAGGCACCAATAAATAACTACTAAGTATATACTCACAAAGAACAGAGTATTAAACGAGTACATGAAGGTACGTCCAGCTCTCTCCGCCGTACCCATGTGGTACAGTGAGTACTCATCCTCATCATCGTAATCCATGATCCTGATGATGAATATTCAATCCTGCTGAACTAAAAAATGTGAACAAGAAAATCGCTCAAATATGGCTTAAGGAAGGATAAAGGATAAATATTAGTTGCATTGATCAATTGATAAATTGCGCTATAATTCACTATTATATAATAATAATAATAATAATAATAATATTAATAATAATAATAATAATTTGATAATTTGACAAAAACTCGTGAAGGGGTTCCGTCGAACTTTTCAACGTAACGCTTCTCCATTCATTGGAATTATTCAGATGCATAAAAAAGTTAATAACCAAGGCATTTAAGAATTACAGACATTTGATAAAATTGTGATGTTTCAAGACAGACAGACCACGCAAGTAATTAGTTCATGACCAAGTATTTGTCGCTGGCCATAAATTCTTATTAGCGCTTAATCATTTCTTCCGGTCACGTATGCAAGCAATGCGTATCAAGTCTTTGCTTACGTCATGCTTATCTATGAGTTCTCTCAAAATGAAATCTTTTTAATCTAGTGCTTAACTATGCTTCAATATTTAATTAAGATCACTTGGTCTTCTCAATTCATTGATGATGACCTTGCCCCCAAAGATAAAGCTGTCTACATTAATGTGGTCGAGCTAATATATAGACAGCACTTCTTGACCATTCGGCACCAGTCGTGTGTTGCACGTGACGTGTAATCTTCACATCTTTCCCACTTAAAAAGCTAAATTAGATGTATTCATAATTTACATTTTTTTATTATTAACATTGTATTTTCTCTATTAACATTATATTTTCATTATTAACATTATTAAATCCATGATCACGCTCTTAACAAGCCCACAGAACCTTCAACTGTAAGCTACTCCTTCTCCAGATGCTGTCTCAAACTTCAGGAAAAACATCGAATATGAACGAGTAATTTCGAAATTAACTCAATCTAAGAATTATCAAAAAATATTCAGGAATTAATTTCAGTATTTAGGATAAGCCATCAAAATTCTTAATAAAAAATTCAAATATGACAGATTAACCCACAAGTTATGTTATGATTAACAAGTTATGATTAACCCACAAGTTCTATGATTAAAAGCGAAAATCGTGTTGCGACATTTCGCCCAAAGGTGATACAGCCTCACGAAAAATTGGTGGGAGAGCAAAATTATTCATATATTAAAAAATCGATATTAGTGATGACAAAATTAAATTACAAGAATTTTATGCATTTAAATTTTTTATTATTCTGCAATTTTCGGCCATGTTTAAAAAGTCATGTATAGTCAATATTCAATTGAGTTGTAGCGGAATTAGTTCATATTGTTCACCCAAACAGAAATTTCGTCACAAACACCAAATCCATACACCATTCACAATGTATCCACTGAAATTATACCATCTAACTAATAACTAATTGAAAAAAGTAATGAGAATTCTTGCAACATTTTAAGAAAAGCCAAACCCATTTTGCTTTCACAAAACCATACCCTAAGTTTTTATGAAAACTCGAGTCGAATCTTGATCCAAGGAACGACTGCCAACGCTCCAGAGTGGCATCTGGTGACGCCTGCTTCTTGTGCCGGGAGGACAGCGCCAATACGTCGGTAATAATCAGCGATAAAAAAGTCACACTTATGGGTGTTAGATCTCCTACTGCACTTTATAGGCACTGTTTTACGGCTGCAACTGCTCACTCTTGGGCACCGTTGTACAGCTACAACTGCTATTTTAGGGCACTGTTATCCGGCTACAACTGCTCTCTATTGGGTACCGTTGTACAGCTACAACTGCTCTTTTAGGGCACTGTTTTACGGCTGCAACTGCTCTCTCCTGGGCACAGTTGTACAGCTACAACTGCTCTTTTAGGGCACTGTTTGTCGGCTGCAACTGCTCTCTCTTGGCACCGTTGTACAGCTACAACTGCTCTTTTAGGGCACTGTTTTACGGCTGCAACTGCTCTCTCTTGGGCACCGTTGTACAGCTACAACTGCTCTTTTAGGGCACTGTTTTACGGCTGCAACTGCTCTCTTGGGCACTGTTATCCAGTTTCATCTGCTCTTTATGGGTCATGTTACACGCGTGCAACAGCTCTTTTTAGGGCTATCTTCCACGGCGGCAACTGATTTTTAAAGTCATGTTTAAGGACTACACCTGCTTTTTTTGAGCAATATTCTAGGGCGGCAACTTCTTTTTCAAGAGACGTTTTTGGGTCTGCAACTGCTATTTGAGGGTCATGTTTTAAGTCTACTTCTTTTAAAGCCATAATGCAATTCAAGAAGGAGCAAAATTAACACAAACAACGTCAGAGCAAAATAGAACGTCTGCATCTAAGAAAATTCACAGTAAAGTGGAATGACCGTTCCTGTTAAAAATCTGGGGATTACCTATCAGTGAGAAAATGGTCGATAAATATAATTTTTAAATTTTAGTTTGCAGATGCCCTTATTTTTCAGATCGAAAAAATACTAAATACATTCCGTCCCTTGTTCATTTTCTTTCCATGGCGTGGAATTATGGAATATATTAAGGGAAACTAGAGCCCAATGAAAAGAAAATCTAGAAATTGGAATCATCATTCGATAACACAGTTCATTCCATTTAATTTGAATAAAAAATTGCTGCTCTGTTAAATTTGTTTTCTACTACTCTAGTGCTAAAAACTATCCCTGAGCATATCGTTATACTCTTAGACGATTTTCTTTATTGTAATTTTGTACCCTACATTAACGGCCACAAACACTTAATGTAACCACGAAACTTCAAATTAATAAGCAAGGAGCCTCAATAAAACCTAATGATCTAGATTACGTGAGCTTTTCGAAGCGATAAGTCGGCGATCGCTTTACGATACCGCAACATCAAAACACGTGCGTTTAATCGAGTGCCTTGTGATCATCACTTCACACGTTGGCGGGACTTTCTTCAACGTTGAATGACGTCTTTGGATACTTTGTAGCTATAGTTTTTCAATGATAAACGGTGGCTCACAAATTCAAATGATAAGAAATTATTTTCTTCAATATTGCACTGCGACCTCGGGCATCTTTAGGCTTCTCTCTTTCAATGATAAACGTGGCTCACATACTCAAATTTTAATGAGAAATTATTTCTATTCAACAGCGCATGGCAACTGTGTGTTTTATATGTTTTTTTACATATAAGTTGAATTGCAATTGGATTAATAAGAAATTATTATTATTATTATTGTTATTATTATTATTATTATTATTATTAGTATTATTATTATTATTATTATTAACTGTTGCTCTCAAATACGAATTAATCGGAAATGTTCTTCAATATCTCAGGATGTCTCTCACACTTTAAATGATTTATTTTTCCGTCAATTATTTTAAGATCGAAACGTGCTTAAAAAACAATTTACTCTGAAATATTTCGTGCCTATTTAATTCATGGAAAAGATTCGAGCTTCTGCGCATATTTTCTTAATTTAGATTATCACAATAAAGAAAAACTTTGGAAATAGTTTGTCAATTTTTAAAATAATTCTTCTTATTCAATCTTGACTGTCTGTATATGATTCAAATTCGAATAATAAACCGACTTCTACGCCCGAAATCTCGATACGAAAATTTTCCACAAAAGATGATTAAAAAAATTGCTACAAAGCTTTTTGAAATGGAATTGCATATTTTAATGTCAATTTGCTCTAATTTAAGAGATCACGGCAGGAAAAATAGAGCAGAAGGAAGTTATCATTAAGTTATGAAGCTTACATTTGTTTATCAGTGTATCAGCAGCGCTATAGTTTATCAGGGTCGTCTGATATGATAAAGGAAATTAAACTTATACTCAAACGCAAAAAGAAACTGAAGCCATGCGTAATAATGCATATAATTGATGTTAATTTGTTTTTTCGCGCTCCAAACTATACTTAATGAATAATTGTGATGCACTTAATAAATTATACAGAGAAGTACAAATTCCAGAGACGATTTTAAAACATTTGCTTTTTATAATCGTATGCTGAGTCTACTTGTATTATCTTAATTGTAAGATATGCCACGGCAATGCAGCTTCTAAAACAATTGTGCCACTAATACGAAAAACTCATGACAAAATTTGCTAAATTCACAATAAGAGGATAAACATGCACAAATTCAGCGGAGCAGTGACATTTCATGTGACATTAAATTGCATTAAGCTCAATCCTCGATTATGAGCTAGGCCTAATGTGTATGAGACACGAATATCCTTCCTACAGCCTCGCTTGCCCCTTATGTGTCGAAAACTGAGTTAATTTTCTTATTAGTTTGATGTTTATAGTTCATGATTTCCGTTTTGCACCAAAGATCCACGTAGTTTAAGTTTGAGAGCTTGAGTGCTCCAGCGTTACTGCCAGAGAAAAATTTCATTATTGAAAATAATTCTAATCTAATTATTACTTTATACTCGAATTATATGAATACTAGTATCGAAACCAATCCATTATCACAAGCATAAAGACAGACAGAGAATCTATACTAACTATAATCATTGGAATGGACGCCACACCATATACATATCTACATCCCAAATTATTCCTACGAAACACCAACCCCTGCAGCTCCATTTTCCTATAAACCTATTTCATAAATATTTCAAATTGTTCCATAACACGATCGGTTTCTGGCAATACAAGTGTTTCTTTAATACGTAGCCGAACAACTAAAGGAACAGGTTATGGAAGAAGTCGGGTAATTAAGCATGCACTCGTTGAACATGACAAATCTCGAAATTTGTTCGTATAATTTAATCGCCATTGGTGTGGGTATTTTAAGCTATGAGAAATCGATACTGACAATAATTTTAATCTTAAAATGAAAATATAGCTGTTATAGCTACGCGACATTCCCAATATAAAACGACATCACATATGTCAATCTTTAGGGAGCAAGGTCTTGCAACAAAGTGCACAATTCCGAGACTGTATTTCATACAGTACCTTGAGCGATGTCTATGTACTCTTTTGTTTGCTCGTAATTTTTTCAAATTTCTCGTTATTATTTCCAATTTCTAATTATTTAATTTATTAATTTCATCGAAACCCCCATTAAAGCCTTCATATTCTTCTGCACTGCAATAAATATTTGCGGTGATCACTGATTCGGCGATAATTTTTCTCCTTCACATGTAACATGCAATTAGGTCGTTTTCATCTGTGCGTTAAATTATTGGCTGAGTTACCCCTTTCATCATGAAATAACCATATTAAAGTGACCGTTTTAGTTTTATGGCTACGTTTAAAAAATCTATCACACGTGTGGTCATCTATGTTTCTTTTTTACAAATATGTTATTGTATCTTGGAAATTCAGCGACGCTCACTGCTCAATTGTTTTGTTAACGAAATGGAATGTTTAGATTTTTCAAAGGGTCATTAAAATTATTTTTGTAACAATAATTAACGGATTATCATTGTTCATTCTTTGGTAGTTTCAGGGTAATTGCCACTCCAAGTGTCACCTGGCAATCTTATCTCCAGACTACCGGTCTTTAAGGCAGTGATTCTTTTAAGCCTCAAAACTCGAGGCGAGTCGTATATAATTATCAGCAGACTGATTAAACTTACAGTACAATAATAGCTTCAGCTGGGATAAGTCACAGCTTACCCTAGAGAAAGTTTAGAAATAACATCAACGTCCGATTATGAGAATTTAATTTATGAGTATATTATCAAGTTGTGCCATGGCTGCATGTGTATTTGAATACATTCCCCGAGATGTATATAGAATGTTAATTAATTTCTAATTAATTACATCGATATAAATAATAATAATGTTATCAAGAAATGAATGATCACTAAGAATTGTTTTTCGTATCTAATTTTAATACATTATTATGTTACATATCGACTCGTACACAAAAGGGCGAGAAGATAATTTTAAAAGCTTTTCAACAGCTGGTAGAGGTATTTTACTTAAATTGTGTAGTTCAGTGAGTGACAGAATTTTTTACAGGGATTAATTGTTTCTCTTAACAATTGGTGAAGAGTGAAGCGTTCGGGGAAAAAGAATAAAGCTCTGCGTTTGTTTGATCAGCTGTAAGAATATACTATAGAAAAGTAAACTTTTAGCTGGTTTGGAAAATATTTACTAGCTTAAATAGATGTAAGCGTGCCCTTGAAATTTCTGATTATATTTGGTGCTTGTTGAGTCATCTGAAATCCTGAAAGTCAATTAATGAACATCTATTGGATCCAGCAATAGAAAAAACATAGTTTTGTTTTTAATTTTATCTTGTATTAAAAATTCCTGCCAGTACTGCAAGCTAATATTCGCACCTGAAACAGACTTCCTTCCTTCCCTTGAATGTAATAAAAAAATCTAATAAAACCATTTTAATGAGGCAACAAATTTTTTCATTTGATACATGAAGAGTTCTGCAAAACTGAAAGTTTGAATCTATATTTCTGCTACCTAGTTTTCTCAGTACCATAAACGGAGCCTGATTTGTTATTGGAATGCGAATATTCTATAATTAAGACACTACCCACACCAGCATATTTGAAGGGATGATATGTCAGGAAAATGCCCGTATGGTGTTAAATGGAGTAGCCTTAAAATGGGTAGAGAAGTGAAAATAATAGTAATAATTGAATAAACTGTCTTTTTCGTCTCGAGCGCAGAGATGAGTGTAAAATTCTTCGAAAATGCTTAAATAAAACAAAATAAAATTTCATTATTGCGAATTATCTTTTACTTAAAACCTTGATAAAATGCTAACGTGAATAGAATGTGAATAATTTATAAGAAAAAAAATCGACTGGAAAAATCAGTGTTAAAATCCATATATTTTCGAATAAATTTAAGCAATACAAATAAATAAAATGGATTTCTACGAAGAACCATACTTTGGGTTCGGCACAAAGATGTCCAAATACCTGATGTACATCTTCAACGTCATTTTCTTCGTAAGTATTGCACAGANAGTTTAGCCATTAGTAGAAACGCAAATTTCTGTATGATTTTCTCTGGTAGTAAAGGGATGTATAATAACAAGTTTCAGGAGCTTCTCTGTCTTCGTCTGTGTGAGTTGAGCCATTAGTAGTAACGCAAATTTCTATATGTTTATCTTTGTTAGTAAAGGCATGTATAATAACAAGTTTAAACAAGTTTTTTTAGTGATCGTGTTATCTTGGAGTGGCGAATACTTGTTAGAAAATGTTAGCTCGATAAATTCGGATACAGTTATATGTTTGTAATTTCTTATTTCTGCAGTAACGCAAAAATTATCAGTACATAAACGTATAATAATCATCATTGATAAGTTAAGTTCAAGTAATTATCATAAGTTACCGAGTAAATCGTGCTCATTAATGGATTACTGTCATTAGTAATTAACTAATAACCAGGATTACGTTCATAAATGCCTTCATACATATTAAATCTTATCGCACACTCGTGTGTCTACCAACTTATAAGAAACAACCCTTCTCACTAACTCAATAAATCATATTAAGTTAGTAATGCCATGGGCCTATTTCTTCAACGCCGACACTTCTATTCTATTCTATATTCTCTACAGTTCGTTGTGCTGAGCGTGGTGAGCTTTTTCCTGAACCTCGGAGGCTCGGTTTACTTGCTGCAGTCCGGACTAGAACAGACCGCAGCCAAGCCTCTGATCAGTGAACTGTTCTATGGCTACCTCATCGTTTACTACTCAGACATGCCATCCAAATACATGGCTGATCACATACAGGAGCAAGTGAGTGGCTTAATTACTATGTATTCATTTGCGTGCTGGACATCCTTATTTGACAGAATTGTAATTCATAGAACTCTCAGAATGCAAAAAATGCCGGAAATTACTTCCGCTTCCTAAAAATTATTGCCAATTTATTTCAAATAAATTATCCCGGAATATCTTTATTTTCAATCAGAGACTAAAGTCTCTTCTAGTATAACCGGGTTTTTCTCCCGATTTCGTGCAAAATCTCACAAAATCATTTTACCTTTAATTTAATTTACGCTCCTGAAATTATATTTTCCATACTAAGTAACCGTATCAAAACAATAATCTTGCGTCTTTGATTATTGCGTCAGCCTAATAACGAGGGTAGCAATTAATGATAAGTCTTCGTTATCAGTGTTTACTTCTTTAAAGTTGAGCTCTAAATTTGAATCTTATTAATTTAAATGCAAATATATGAAAGCCAAATGAGTATCTCCAATTACACTGCTGCAAAACAAGGGAACGAAGACTTATTGCATTTGAGTGGGGGCTTGGAATTCGCGCTGACGTAAAATTAGTTTATGCATTGGATATGAGAGTCATAAGGAATATGTAATAAGAATGTATAATATATATAATAGAAATAATACTATAGATTACCAGATAAAAACTTATGAAACGTTGCTCGTCAATCTTATTCTTTGGTTCGCCTCGTTTCTTCAAATAAACAGTAGTCTCGCGTAAACGTCTTTCGCGCGCTTCTGAATTTAAACAAACGAAATCTCAATTACAAGACAATGGTCACCTGCAATTGCTAGATCGAAAGCGATCTGAAAAGCTACCATTTGATCTCGTAATTTACAGATTAAGTTTGTTAAGTTTTATTACGCAGAAAATAAAAACATACTAAAGCTTTAAATTGCGCTTGAACAAATGGATATACAGGCCTTTTAAGTATTACATTTACGAAACGCAAAGTCCAAAGTCCATGCAAAGTCCATGAAAAGTGGCTTGGCAACTTAAAAGCTAATTATTTGACTGGCGTACATGCTATAATTGGTATTAATTTGTATTCATGTTCTCGCTTGATTGTCGTGCTAGAATAACTGAGGGAATTTCATGTTGCAGTACGAATGTTGCGGCGCATACAGCCCCATGGACTGGAAGAACGTACGCCTGCCAGTGCCGAACACGTGTCGTAATCAGGTCAGTATCGCAGATTGATATTAACAATCTTTCTAGGAGAACGTCATCCTTCTAGTGGCAACATTAAACATGTCGTAATAAGATCAGTGTGATAAACTTACATTAAAATGTAGTTTCATCATGGGTGCACATTTTTATTACGCAATTTTTGGGTTATGTGACATTTTATTTGGTTATAGTATAGCATAGTATATATAGTATAGTATAGTATAGTATAGTATAGTATAGTATAGTATAGTATAGTATAGTATAGTATAGTATAGTATAGTATAGTATAGTATAGTATTGATGTACAGGCAGTCGCCTTGATGCAGAGCTACGGAATCGATTTGTAATTGTTTAAAATTGTATAAAATTTGCTTGGTTGAGATGGCACAATTAAGAGTTTGGCTTATGGTGAACAATGAGTAAATGCAGATTAACAAGAGACCTCTCAGGGGCTGAGTTTTCAAACATTCCTACTGTGATGGTGAATGCTAGGAGTAACCGGGATTTTGAAACGGATTGACCCCAGATATTTTTCCTAAGCGGAATTAAAGAAAGCTCATTATATATTTGCAAATGTGTTTATTATTATCCAGATCACAGGCAATCAGTTCCATCTGAGCTGCGGGGAGGCGGTATCTCGCTACCTCGAGCTCTTCACTGGCCTCAGCAGCGGCATGGCGCTCATAGTCTGCTTCTTACAGGTTTGTTTATACTCTGCAGGTTTGTTTATACTCTGCAGGTTTGTCCTGTTCATACTAATTGTATCTATTTTCCCATAGCACCATCAAGTGTTCCTTGCAGAGCAGCATTTATCGCTGTTTCATGCTCTCACATACGTTTACATTATTTAATGTTTACATGAGTTCTCTTAAATTGTTGAAATTTCTTCTGATGTTCTTTCAATTTTCAGTGTTTTTCTAGGATTTCAAACTTTTCGATTCTAGATCATTCATTTGCTAATTGTTTATCAGTTTTTGATTAAGACAAGTTTTTGAAAGCTTTCAACATTTAGTTGACTCAAAATACAAGCAGCTAAGTGACAATGGGACACGAGTTTATTGTACATTTCTATGTCTGTTACGACCTATGTTTTCTTACTTAATGGATAAAATTTAAATGTAGAAATGGAATTCATTAGACGCAATCATGCTTGTCTTTGAAGTTGATATTTCCTTTTTATTTCCTTCCATTTATCGATTGATATTTCCTGCAATTAATAGATGATTTATTTTAACTTCAACAGTTGTGGACCTTCCTGTTCGTTGTGTTGATACGCAGAGGACATTTCCGGAAAAGTCAATCTGTTGAAAATAACCAAGACTTTGTGTTTACATTCAGGTTTTTTACTCTGCAGGTTTGTTCATACTCTGCAGGTGTGTTTACATTCAGGTTTTTTACTCTGCAGGTTTGTTCATACTTTGCCGGTGTTTTTACATTCAGGTTTTTTATTATCTGCAAGTTTTTTATAGTCTGCAGGTGTATATACATTCAGAATTATTATACTAGGCAGACCTGCTTATACTCTGTAAGCTTATTTATACGCTGCAGTCGTGTTTTTAGTCTGTAGGATTGTGTTTATTCTGCAGGTTTGTTTATACTCAGCAGGTTTGTCTATACTCTGTTAATAATTATCCTATCTATTTTGCTAGGCACCATCACGTGTTCCCTGCAGAGCAGCATTTATCACTGTTTCATGTTCTCACTACGTTTACATTATCTTGTGTTTACATATGTTCTCTTAAATCGTTAAAATTTCATCAGATAATTTTTTTAGTTTTCAGTTTTTTTGGGGGGATTCTATCTCATTCAATTGCTATTTGTTGATCAGGTTTCGTGTAAAATAAGTTTTTGAAAGCTTCCAACATTCAGTTGACTCGAAATACAAGCAGCTCGTGAGAATCGAACATGAGTTTATTGCACATTTCTATGCCTAAGTCTACGACCTATTTTTCTTACTTAATGGATAAAATTTAAATGTAGAAATGGAATTCATTAGACGCAATCATGCTTGTCTTTGAAGTTGAAAAATTTTAATTTCCTTAAAGTTATCGATTCATGTTTCCTGCAATTAAAAAGTTGATTAATTTTAACTTCAACAGCTGTGGACCTTCCTGTTCGTTGTGTTGATACGCAGAGGACATTTCCGGAAAAGTCAATCTGTTGAAAATAACCAAGACTACAACGAAGACTAGAAACAAATAAATTAGTTTCATCCTCAACCTACATCGGACTCTTCTATCTATAGGAATAACCACACTTGTGTAGTATGTGTACTGGTTTTTAATACACGAAGTATTCTTCTTCATCATGTGTCGGTGTGGATGAGGCTTGGAAAATTTCTCCACATGCTCTGCAAGGATCGATCTCGAAGCATTGATTCGTTATACTAATTTAGGTGGTTATATCAGCATGTAGATTGCTCCTTCTTGATTTTCAACTTGTGTGTTACTTGATTTTTGTTCTAAAAACTACGAAATTATTATCACGTCACATTGTGGTGTTGTATTAATTTAATGTATAAAATTTTACGATGGTTTAAGCTCCTTGAACTATAGTTGCTCATTCGACATTGGTCTCGGTGTAAAGGAATAAGGACCACAACTATGCCAGTAATCCAAGTAGCATAGGCCTCTTCACGAGATGCAAATCGAAACACGAGTAACCAACTCAACATTTAATTAAATAAAGAACGAAATGAAGGAAAACTAGAAAGGAGCCAGCCGAGTTGAAGGTGCCATGGATCAGCAGGTGTCGTGGGGTCTCCGAAACGCAATGATCCACCAGGAAACAAGGATCCACAAGGAAGCATGGTTCCACCAGGATGCAAGGTTCCACCTGGATGCAAGGTTCTACTAGTACGCTAGGATACACCAGGACGCAAGGTTCCACCAGGATGCAAAGTTCCACCAGGATGCAAGGTTCCACCAGGATGCAAGGTTCCACCAGGACGTAAGGTTCCACCAAGACGCATGGTTCCATCAGGACGCAAGGTTCCACCAGGACGCAAGGTTCCACCAGGGCGCAAGGTTCCACCAAGACGCAAGGTTCCATCAGGACGCAAGGTTCCACCAGGACGCAAGGTTCCACCAGGACACAAGGTTCCACCAAGACGCAAGGTTCCATCAGGACGCAAGGTTCCACCAGGACGCAAGGTTCCGCCAGGACGCAAGGTTCCGCCAGGACGCAAGGTTCCACCAGAACGCAAGGTTCCACCAGGACGCAAGGTTCCACCAAAACGCTAGGTTCCGCCAGGACGAAAGGTTCCATCTGCAGGAAATACGATCGGAGAGTTTAGGGCGTCAGGTAGGAGGGTGAGAAGCCAGTACGTGTTACTCGTGGTTGAGGAGCCCCTTAATTGATAATCAGTTATGGGTTCTATCTGTAGCAAAAAGCGCGGGGGTTAGCAATCACCGGTCTATAGAAAATTATAAAGTTACCCCACAGCCATTGAAGAGAACGAGTTTATGGGGCAGATCTGTGATACTGCTATGAAACACTTCTCGTTCCAGAGAACTTTCCTTTAGCGGCTAGTTTATAGAGCAATTCTAAAGCCTCCGATTTTCTGGATACAAACTCTTCTGAATTCAAAGATCTTCACATGAAAAGTATGTTAACGTCAGTCAACAATGTTTACATGTAAACAACACTGAACTAAAAAAGTTTCTTTCATTCTAAAGTTGATTTGTAAAATTGTGTGGACTTCTAGTGAATTACATTCATCCATAACTAAGGATGAAATAAGTTGGGAAATAAATATTAAATTCTTCATTATTATACAATTGAAGAAGACTAATTAACCAAATTTTTGGTTTAATCGTTGTTTTAGGAGAATTTAATATCATTTACTCGGGTTTATTCTGATTCTTGTATTTTTATTCTTACTTTTATGTTATCTATATGGTTGTTAGGAACATGAAATAACATGTAAACACGTGTTCGTTTTGTAAAAATTTTCTATCTGTAGCGTATAAGTCCTGGATCTCTTAGTAATAAAGCTTCGTTTAGAAATATATAGTTCATAGTTGTCGGATAACATTCATAATTAATTGGTTACCATTTATAGTTGATTAGATTAAACGATTTATAAATATATAACCTGAATTTACTTTAAAATTAATTCGATGACCTTGATTGAGGAAATAGCGATAATATCTTCCTGTTTATATGATTTATAAACATGCTCTTCAGACCCGAAAACGGCTTAAATTACGATAGAAATATGACCAATTCATTCACTCCATTGTTTCATTGCCTTGATTCTTCTTTATCTTATAAAATTAAAAAATAACACATTAGTTCAATGCGTACACGAATGTTATTTAAAGTACAGGATGATATTCAGTGTTTGTTGTAATCCAACGCGTGAAAGGCGGGATCGACATGTTCATTCAAAATTATTTGAAATGCCAATCATAAAGCTCTTATTAACAATTTCCTCCTATTAACAATAGAGTTTTGGATGCAACTCTGGCAGTAGAGCTGAAAATTACTCATGAAGTCCTGAAGGATCTGGTTATTTGGGGAATAATAACTAATTTAAGACAAGAGACTAATTACTAACGACAAGGTCTCCAACTATCGCTAGTCTGATGCTTAGGGGCATCAAGTTCAGTTTCAAAATTGCATTAGAAAATTAAAAGAGGATTTCTTTATTTATAAACAATACTAACTCTTATTCAGAGTCCCTGAGAATTTTAAATATCCGCATTTTATATTAAAAATTTGATTCGAGGCGTAAAACTCTAAAACGTTTTATGATAATTAGTCCTTATTATATTAGATAACCAGCTTTATCAGAAGAATTTTCCGTGCCATGAAATAAAATGATCCACACTCTGAAACATTAATATAAATTTTGGCTTTTTTATATTTGTTTTTAAACTCTTCAGATCTCCCAAATATTTCACTAGATAGGCTAAGGTGCTTCGGCTCGAAAGATGCTCAGTGAAAATAATATTCCTAGAAAAATGGCGTTGAACGACAAGATAAAAGTGGCAGGTGATTAAAGGGAGCATGTGATGCCTTCAAGTTTTTTTGAGGAATACAGGATAATATTTTAGGTAACTGAATCTTTGTACTTGTTTTCTCACCAAAGTGCCGAAAAATTCTCGAAATTTTTTTCTTAGTCGATTGAACAGGGCAGTGACTACTGGGTAAAAAATCCTTGTGATAACATGGTTGAAGAAACCTGATAATTTTGTTACTAAGTTTAAAAATTTTGTTTTCCGGAGTGATTGACGTCCAAAATTTAAGCATAAACGAAAATTTGATTACGTATTTTAATTTCTTTCGTGAAGTTTGAATAAAAATCTCATGTATTCGATAAAATATAGTACCTAATTTTCTGCAAATAAACTAATGTTAGATCATGCATCTGTTTTATATACCTGCATCACACAAATGAAGAAAAAGGAAATTTCAGAAATTGTAGTTTAAAAAATGTATTAAAAATTATTTAAGCTTGAGCACCATAACGATGTTGAACGTATTTCGGTAGCTCATTCATGGGTTTTAAGGACCCATTACGACAGTCCATCAAACTCATTCATGTTCTTGTTAACAATGGGGAATCCAAAGGCGAATTAAGACAACATTCGCACTTGAGAACTCTGAACTTTTACGCCTATATCCAATATTTCTATTAGAGTTCTTAGCTGTGAACTTTTCTGTCGATAAAATTAAAATGAATCAAAAGGGTGCTAAATATAACTGCTGAATAGCATACATGAATACGGAAAGTATAAAGAATTCATATTAAAACAGTATGCGAATTATATCTATTGACGATAATATCTAGACGTGACAAAGCCTAAATTACAGCGCGGACGTGAATGACATAAATTTTTTTCTAATGTTGAAATAAGAGAATTGAAACGCCTCGAAAAAACATAACATTGGTTTTTCAATATAGTAAACTAATATTGTTCTTTGGGCGAAGTGTTTTATTAATTGAAGCCAAAATAATTAATGAACAATTGGGGTAACTTTGAAGCCCAAGGCAAAAGCAAAATTAAATTATAATTTTTTAACTACATTTACATAAACTATGTTTTTGAGACTATAACAACTTTTTAATGTTATTGTTCGAGTAAACTAATTCTAAAGTCCATAAAATGAGTTCGAAAATATTTGGCCTTACTAAAAAACACCGCTTAGTCTATACTGTAATACGAGTGGTGCGAGGCAATGAAATGAATGGAGCAAAGACACTAGACTTTTTTCTTGTAGCCGTTTGATATATCAGCTCCCGGGGCCATACTTTCAAAACTCGCTAACTTAGCGTAAGTACTTACGCTCTATTTTCTTATCTATGATTGGCGAATTTTGCTTGAAAGGCCGTCAATGATTGGCTGATGAACTTACGATCTCTTAACTTTTTTTTGAAAGTATATGCCCTGGAACACACTGAGATCTCAGATCGCAACATTCCCAACGAAAGGTAGCAAATAAAAAAATTGATCAAATCTTCAAGGCGTGTATTATTTCTGAACATATCATGCACTGATGAAATCTCTTTGCATTTCCTTTTTTTCTGTACAGCGCTGGGTTGTTTCGAGGAAAACGTAAGTTTTCAAATTTATTTTTTTTTCCTGGCAACCTGTTGATATATTAGCTGCTGAAACACACTGATATCAAAACATATACTAGCCTAGTTCGTTTTGTCATTAATGCCATTTTGTCTAAATTTTTGTGGGTGTTGTTTGTCATTTATGTCACATCATTGCGGGATATATAAATTTCAGGGTTTTTTATATTTTTATTTATCTCTGACCTACCTAAACTTTCTTTTTACCAACATTTTCAACTTTGGTGTCAATCTAATATGCATCTTATCGTTTTTAAAAATGGAATACAAAAGAAATATATTGCCCCTAAAATGTATAGGATTTATACTTAATTTATCAAAAAATTTATACATTATTTTATTTAATAAAGTTTCTTGCATTGATGACGCCGTCCAATCCCCTGACGAACAATATTAAGGCTTCGGATGACCAACCATTTTCAGGACGAATTCTCTACTCGAAGCAATATTAGAAACTGAGTTTCGTTAACGCTCGTTTCTAGAAGCTTTTATTTAAACTCGAGACAATTCATCGCAAGAAATGAAATTTGATTCTAAACTGATGAGTTACTGACTTCCATGTTTTACAGGTCCGAAGGATATGTTCTACAGTTTCTAAAGATATGTTATATGTGGTCTAATTTGATCAAGTTCCAGGTTCTACAGGTTCCTAGGTACAGGTTTTTATTTTTATTATTTATTCAGGTATTTTATTTTATTATTATTATATGTTTTTTATTTATTTTATTTTATTATTATATCAGGTATTTTATTTTTGTGCTTTAAGAATATGTTTGTAAATTTTTGATGACATATTCAACGAGAATTATTATTCAGAAAGATCATTTCAAATTGAGTTTTTAAAAGCAGGTAAGAAAGGTCAGCAAATGATACTTCTTATTCCGCACGAAATATAAACACATCGGAAATATTACCACCACAAAATTACAACATATAAGTATTAATTAATGCAGCTATCTAAAATTATCAAATGTCGTGGGAAATATTACAACATATAAGTATTAAAGAATGCAGCTATCTAAAATGATCAAATGTCGTGGGAAATTCGTAAGCGGTCAGCGCTGCATACCCGGAATGGAGCAGATAGGTTAGTAGGTTTCTAGTGTGAGAGCGCCTGCCGTGAACAAGAGATGTGCATTGAGCTAATGCCCGGCCATCTGGAAGCACCGCATATTTTTAATGCATAAAATAATAGCTGGTTACTCATGTGCTGCTTATGATCATGATTATTCATTAATTTGAAAGTGGGTTTAGTCTTTTATGAATAAAGGAATTAACCGAGTGCGGCCACCAATAAAGTTGGATCTTCACCAAACTCTAGAAAATTTTAATTTTTTTCAACGGCGCACTAATGGTTAAAATTTCAAGTGACCTCGATCGCAAGCTAATCCGAAAAACATTGGTTTTACATTTACATAGTGACTATAATAATTTCGGGTGATGAATTGAAAACTAACTTAAAATTATTTAAATTCACGATTCCGACATCGATATACCGACATCGATATATGCTAGGAATAACAAACGGTATATAACAAGTGAGTGTCGGTGTACGTGCGTGAGTGCTGTGGCGTGTGCGGCGTACAGTTGCACGCCACACCCGCAGAAGTCGTCGCTGTGGCGTGTGGGGCGTACAGTTACACGCCACACCCGCAGAAGTCGTCGCTGTGGCGTGTGGGGCGTACTGTTACACGCCACACCCGCAGAAGTCGTCGCTGTTGCATGTGCGGCGTACAGTTACACGCCACACCCGCAGAAGTCATCGCTGTGGCGTGTGCGTCGTACAGTTACACGCCATACCCGTAGAAGTCGTCGCTGTGGCAGTGCTTCTTCAGCAACACGAATTTAGAATTTCATGTCAATGTAATTTCCCGACAAGATGGGTATTGTGGATACGAGGTTAATTGATAGTCCAAACAAGCAAATTTGGGCAAATATTGAATAAATAGGCATTTCCTGTTTGAACTTGAAAATAACGAATATGTAAAAAATAATTATAACGTTGTCGTGAGGTACATAAATCTGTGCTTGGTTTGAAGTTATCTTATGAAAGGATTTGTTCAAATGTATATTGAATATTTAGGTATGAATGAGATGCACAGCTAAATTTTCTTCGACTTCAAAAAATCACTTACATTGTTGAATTCTGAATGAACCGAAAAAGTTAACTTACAAATGTATGCGTATTTTGGAAATGTTCATTGCGATGACTTAACTAGGTTAGAAATCAAGTGTTATTTCTGTTGAATTTGCGAATTGCTTGCGATACATACTTGTTATGCGCAGGATCAAATATGCTTTTGACTGGCACATATAACACTTGTAAAAATACTTTGTGTATATGCAGTGCACAGTGAAAGCTCCACATGCGACGGAATATTGAATCAATTCTTTGTTTAAATTCGTCATAATGAAACCTTGAAATTTATTATTGAAAATCAGTTGTCTCGACAGTCATTGTTGCATTTCACAAAACACGCATTCAGAAATTAGAAAAATATCAATCCAAATGCAAGCGCAGATGTAATTAAAAGCGTCCTTGCCGTAAACACTAGCATGGAAAAATACGTCTCTGAGCTGTCGACTAGAAAAGATTTTCTTACAACGGTGCGTTGTAGTCGAATAATTAAAAGAGTGTTCTTCAAAAAAGAGGTACCTAAAATTTAAATACATGGAAGTAAAATTTTTATTTTCATGTAATTTCACGTGAATCTCTGACGGTAAAATCAAGTAGAATTTGTTTTAATTATTCATTCCTTTTCGGGGAATTATTTCTTTGCATCGTTTGCTTTTATTTTTCTGCAATCTCGCCGCAATTTTATTTATATCATGACATAACATAACATACCATAACATAACATAACATAGTGATGTCGGCGCTGAAGAGTAGGCCTGATGTGGCCTGTCGCCGATTCTTGTACTCTTCGTGACTTGTTTACAGAAGATCCCAAAGCATGTCCTTTGTTCGGATCTTTTCAAGACTGACGATAGTTTGAAATAGCTACTAGACTTCCGCCGGGTTCGATATGGTGCTAGGCATTTCAAGTTTGAACCTTTTACTTCCTCATAGTAAACAGGGTCCAATGGCCAGGGATTGAAACCAATTTTTCAAGCTGGACTGTTACTGTTACTTTTTATTTTCGACCCATTAATTGTCACCACGCAACAGGCTGAACTGCAAGCACCTAATGGCTGGTAATGGAACTAAATATATCAATATGGGATGTAACTTTTCATTTCTTCCTCCTCCCGCGATGCATCAGTCTGAATTAGAAGTGTCCAAAGGCCTGAAATTTAATTTAATCGTTCACTCTGGGAAGTTACTTCTCATAGCTAATATCCTGCGAGCGATGCAACAGGCTGAAATTCTCGTATCTATATATAGTCTCTCTGGACGCCTGCGAGGCGGCCAATATTCTGACTGAAGACGATTAACTTGCTCTCAGTGTGTGCGTCACGTCTGCATTATTTGTCAATATCCTTCAAATTTCGACTGGTAAATGAAGCCATAAATCTGAACTGATTCGAGACTTGCGCTTTTTTCTCCGCTGTCAGATATTTAGGAACATGGGAATGGAATTTTGAACGACTATCTTAATTTAGAGACTGCATTATGTAATATTCCTGCATGTTTGATCTAAGTTTTTTAAATTTTGTTTGAAATTGAACTATAATATCTACATTTCACTTGAGGACTCAGAAATGTCACTGAAACCACGTCGGATCAGTAAATTAGGTGAAGACTAACTAAGTTCCAACAAACACCTGAACTTCATCAATTAGCGCTCATTCTCAGTTGAGTTTTTCTTAAGTGTAAAAGTTCCCAAGATGCAGCAGGACTTTGAAGTTGTTTCTATAAATTGGAGCGTTAAATTCAAAGTTTTTGTATATGCTCAGAAGAACAGCTCGGGATAAAGATACTTAAATCTCTGTGTAAAATAGCAGTTGAAAGCGAAAAACTTGCTCATTTTGCCGACAATGTGGAGGAATTTTTCATTTTTTAAGGATGTTCACGTGAAATAGTAAGCATAATGTGAAGTTATGGAAAGCATTTAAACTTGCTTGATATTTTTTTTTTGAATGTCAGCCGTGCAAAGGAGTGAAAGAATTTACTATTCTGGCACTCGTTGATATTAAAGTTTTACTATGAAATGCTTGTAACGTGTTCTGAAGTTTACCTTTCAGTGTAATTTCAATTGACTTTACAGCGCTTACTTCCGGTCATGAACATAAATTTGACTTCAATTTCGCACAATTTTTTTTGTAAATCTCAGTCATATAGCCCGACCTCAGCCCTTGCAAAGTTGCATGGCTGAGCTGAGGCACCTCATTCTGCCTTGGGCAGCAATAGGAGTAGGTGTGATGTGGTCGTGCTCTGGACACCGTGTCGTGACTCCTGAAAATTTTGAAGCGCATTTTCAAATTGATTACTTTCATTGCTTATAGACATTCATACTTTCCACCATTGATAATCTCTAATAAATAATAATTTCTTGACATTTTTTCTTGTGTGTAGTCAATTATGATTTTTTTAAGAATTTGCAAAAACTGCAATTATTATTTTTTCACAATGAGAGCTCCCCTGCAGATCTGAAAATCTTGGGATTATTGAGATCGTCAGGAGTTTTCAGTTGTAAACTTATCTGTTCACTAACCATTTTTATTTTACGTCACAGGAACGCCTATGGAATCTTTAAGTATAACATTTTAATTAAAATGTGATTCCTGGAGATAGCTGGGAGCAGAGGAATACTTTCGTGATCAGAAAGCAGTGAAATGATTTCGTCGTGCATCGACGTTAATAAGGATATTGAGAAATTCATGCAAGTTTATAAGCTCTGTTAAAAGAAAAAGAAAACATTATGCTGAAAGAAAAGTCAAAGAAGACAATATCCTCAAACCTTATATGTATGCTTATTTGCCCTGCATCTTTTGTTCAAAACTTGCACTGGTCATCATTTATTTGGTAAGATTTAATTCCAGATTTTGAATACTTGATTTTACTTAGGTGCAGAATGCACGGCTTACCAATTGAGTGACGAAGTTTGGTTGCAATGTAAAAACAGACCAAAGATATTCTCTCACGGAAATCATGAGAAACCGTTGAAGACCGAAAAGTTCGAACCATGGATTCGAATTCGACCGTCGACGAGGAATGGAGTCCGGAAAATACGACAATTTACAAAGTGCAGATGATAGCACTTCCATTGCTCATAGCTGCCGGCATCACCGGTAACGGGATGAGTGTTTGGGTGTTGCTCGTATCTCCGCTACGTGGCTTGAGTTCATCATTTTACCTGTCGGCTCTGTGCGCTTCCGACTCGGGATTTCTGTTTTGTCTGTTTTTTGTGTGGCTCAAAGGCATGGGCACTGATCTCTATAACCAAAATGGATGGTGCCAAGGCATAACATACGTGTGTCACGTGACGACATTTTTAAGTGTTTGGTTGGTGGTGGCGTTCACAACGGAACGTTTTGTAGCAGTCTGTTTCCCCTTCTTGCGTCCAATTGTCTGTACTGTTCGCCGCGCCAAAACCGTTATTCTGGTAATTATTGCGGTTGCAATGACACTATACTTCTACCTGCTTGCCACGGCAGGCATTGTCACCATTTCAGGATCATCATACTGTACTCTTGTAGGAACATACGAGGCCGTTGGCCATGTTATGAACCATGTGGATACCGTCCTGACCATGCTTGTACCTCTCGTTATCATCGTCACTCTTAACGTGAAGATCGTCAGATGTGTACGGTACGTCGAGAAGTTGCGATGTCAAATGCTGACGCTGGATCTCGCGTCCAAAGCGCCGCCAAGCCAGATCCGCGTCACCAAAACCTTGCTCGTGATCTCCTCGGTGTTTATACTCCTCAACCTGCCTTCGTACGGACTGCGGGCGATGCAGTACATAACGGTGAGCTTTTGGGTACATTGCGCGTGTTGAAGTTATCGATTTTTTACGATAGACATACCAATTACTTTTTAGAAAGTATTACAAATTTTTTATTTATAAAGATAGTATTTTAGTAATATATCAGTAGTAGAGAAAAAGTGGCTATGGGCATAGTTTGCATAAACGATTTAATAGATAAACGACCATTTACCTCGAATAAAACTTGGCCATTTAACCCGACTGACCGAGCACTCAGAATATATTTTAACTACCATCTTTAGTGAAGTTTGGAAACTATTCGAGTGCCACGATGGAAGTTACTTTTTTGGAATATACAATTAAATTAAAATTTTTAAATACTTTCCAGAACCTATGGTGTTCATCTTTATTGATAAACACAAAGCTATAAGGTACTTTATACCTATCATTACACAGTTCTAGAAAATCTGCCAAGGGCATATCGCAAGCGATGTAATCACCATGAATATTCTTCAAATTGATGAAATGTAACTCAAATAGAATTAACGGATTCGAATTCATTCTATAATGGTTTGCTTGTTAATATGTGATAGCTTTGGGATAAGTAAATTGAACAACAGTTATTATTTCTTTCACTGGCGTAAAAACAATAAGCAGGATTTTGATTCTTTTCCGTAACAATATCCTCAAAAATAAACAAATTTTTCTTCCTAGGATCAATGTTACTGGGATCTGGTACAGAAGCAGTATTATCAAAGTATTCGATTGCAAATTTTTATTGGCATCTTTTGGTAAGTTCTCTAGATATTTATCAATATTGCCATTGCCTTGAGAAATTAAATCTATTATTTCAGATTTTATATATCCTTTATGGAAAGGATTCTTCAACAACTTATATTCAGGCTGATGAGTTGATTTGCTACAGGAAAAGATTGTTGAAATCAATTAAGTTTTCCAATAGCAACGTCATTAGCAGCGACTTTTTAACGCAGTTCGATTTCCAAATTATGAGACACCTCAAACATAGAGAAGGAAATACAAAATGTTTTTTCTGATTATTTTTTATCATTGTTGAGGATAAGTATGCTGCATGTAAACGTTAGGTCGAAGAACAAGCTGCTAATGTCTCGGGTGTTCATGTAAAGGATTCAGAAATGGTCAATAGAAAATAGATAGGGCGTGATGGCGCATATAAACTTCCTAGAGAAATAAATGATTGCAGCAAAATCAATAGTGGGAAATGTCGGTAGTGGAAAAAAAGTAACTCAGAATATGATAAAAATGAATTCAAAATTGGAAAGTATCCACAAGGAAATGAAAAGAATTTGGGAAAAATTTAAATAAGATGGGGAAAATTTGGTGTCTTTGAATGAAAATGTATCATCAATTCAGGTAAAAATAAAAGCGTCTATTGATGGTGCTGTTAGATTAATAGCCTCAAATACGAACGAACTAGCAGAAATAATGAGATCAATTGTTTTAACGACCCAGAAAAATCGAACGTCAATGAGGAGCGAAACCTCAAACTAATTTTCATCTAAATAAGAAACATTTTATCTAAGTATATAAATTCATGTAGCTAATACATTTATAATCTAGGTTAATAATAATGAGAGCTAATGTAATGTACTGTTAAATGAAATAACTGATAAACAAAAGATGGTCAATTCACTCTACTTAATGTATTTACGTTTGATTTTGAAAAGTGGATGATGGAAGTAAATTAAAATTTATAGAGGGTAGTTAATTTACTAGCTATTATCACTCGAGGCAGTCTGTGAGGAAAAAAAAAGCTTTATGAAATTTCGTATAAAAATGGAAGACGCAATAACAAATGTCCAATGAGAAGTGACGTTCTACACTGGAAATATCAATCAGCTGCAGATTGATATTGATAATACCTGGAATGATATTCGCTATCTCTCCACCGAAATAAATCAGCTTTTAATTCAAGTGAATATAATAGATCAAACAATAAAAATGATTTCAGAAAGTAAACATTAAGAAATGCTCTATAAGTGGAAAAACTATAATAAAATTAAACAGAAGAACCATTTTGTATTTACTTCATTATTACTGAACTTGCTATTGGAGAATTTTATTGACTTCAACAATCTTTTCCTGTATCGCAAGTCAAGTTGTCAACTTATCAGCCTGAATATAAGATGATGAAGAACGCTTTCGATAAGGGATATAGTAAATGTGAAATAATTGATTTATTTTTACAAGGCAATGGCAATATTGATGAATATCTTGAGAACTTGCCCAAATAACGTCAACAAAATTTGCAATCGAATACTTTGATAATACTGCCTCTGTACTTGATCCAAGTGACATAGATCATAGGAAGAAAAATTTGTTTATTTATAATGATATTGCTACGAAAACGAATCAAAATCCTGTGGATAGTTAATACATCCGTGAAAGCCATAATAACTATAGTTCAATTTGCTTATCCCAAAACTATCACATGTCACCAATATAAACCATTTAAACGAATTTGAATCTATTAAATCTATTACCATTCATCGATATGAAGAATATTTTTAGTGCTTATATTGCTTGCAATATGCCCCTTGCAGAACTGTGTAATGAAAAGTAAAAAGTACATTATTGCTTTGTGTTGATAAATAAAGATGAGCTACCAGGTTCTGGAAAGTATTTTAAAAATTTATATCAATTGAATATTCCAAATAATTATTTTCCATCGCGACACTCGCTTGAGATTAAGTCCCGAATAGTTTAGTCCCGAATAGAATAGTTATTAACGAATAGTTTACAAACTGTACTAACGACGATGGTTAAAAAATATTCTGAGCCCTTGGTCAATCGGGGTTAATGGCCAGGTTTAGATCGGGGCAAATAACATGGTTTTATTCGGGTGTAAATGGTCGTAACCTATATCAAGTCGTTTATGAAAACTGTTTATATGGCCCTTCTTTCTATACTACTATGAGAAACAATAAGTATAGAAACAATAACAATAAATATGAGAAATTTTTTAGGGAGGGTTCCGCCTTTTCTGCTGATTTAAATAGTTTTTCATACTTAATTAATTTTGATCGTAAAAACAGGAGTGATTTCAAAACTGCAAAATTGTAAGATCATCGTACAATTTGGCTACTATCAGGGAAGTAATTTTATAATATGTAATTAATTCAACTTTCTAGATTTTCTCTTGGATGTGTTATTGATTTGAATCTGCTCACACCCTTGTCTTGATATAGTCAAAACTTCATCGAAACATTGGATTTATCATAATTTTTCAACACATGTCTGTTTTCAGATTATTATACGAATAACTTCATGGCAAATCCGGTTACGCAACCACGGTAAAATGGTCATAAACTTTTATATAGCACTGTTCTTACTTATGCAGCCAAAAGTTTCTATTGCGGGATCATTTTCTTCATGTGATACAAATTTAATGAAGACAACGTTTTCTGAGCCATAGTTCTACTACTGTCTCGAATTTTTAGCGATAGTTGCTTGAAAATTTCAAAGGAATTCGAGAATGTGAATCACGCGTAACTGTGATAAATGGATGGGAGTTCGATGAAGCTATGGATTTCAACTTTTCTCGAGGGGAAACTTAGTCTCCTTTAGGGAAGATAGCTAGAAGGGAGCTGAGACGAAGCAGAGTTGGGTAATAGGAATGAAGGAGCTAAAAACAAAACTGGGAGGAAATTACGACAGATGACGCGTAGAAAAAAAATAAAGCAAAAAGCTGACAATGCAGATCAAGGGAACTGTATACAGATGAGAAGGAGCCATCAATGAATCAATATACGAGTAGTGCTGCGAAGAGGCTAGGAAGGAGCTGTGATAGAGCTGAGTAAGGCGTCATAAAAAAGATGTAAACGAGTTATAAAGTTCCCAGAAAGGAGCCAGAAAAGTGCTAGGAAAGAGCTGGAAAATGCGCCATAAAAGAGCTGTGAAGAAGCTAGGAAACTACTCAGAACATGGATATCCTTACGATGATAAAATAAATTCAATTAGTCATTCAATGTCCTCTTTCACATGAAAACGCAGATAGATTCGGTGTGGCTGCTGAGGGTACGAACCTATATATAAAAAGGGGAGTCTGGATTGGAATGCCACCTGCGCCGTTATATCAGCTGATGGTCCGGCAGATCAATTCTTGCTTTTCCACGGGGATCACCAGGCCTCCTGGAACCGATTTAGGCCTGGAAGATATTTTCTCATCTCCGGCAGCGTCTTATAAGCACCGCGGAGGGCCTCTGTTCGCCGCTGTTATCAGCTCAATCGAATAAAGGGTTTAGTCTAAAACCTGTATCCATTCGCAAGAAGCAAAAGTCAAAGAATATGCCGTATTTTGCACGACGGAACTATCTTGGCAAAGCTTCACACAACATCGGAATCTCCCGACAATGTTCATCTCAAACTGCAGCCCTCCCTGGTACTATACGACCTCCGGTTGTACAGGGACTTTGAAGGGAACTGTTAGAAAAGCTCTATTTAATACTGAACTATAAGGCAACGTCATAAACTCCTGTTAATTATTGTTATAAACAGGATTACGTACAAACGAAATGTTTTCATTACAGATAAACATTCTTATCCTCTAATTCAATGCAAAATGCGACGAATGATTGAAAATTATAATGTACATAGAATAGCGCTGTTTAACGATATACTCATATAGTCAGAAGGTGAGAAATCTGAGCAAGCATTGAAAATGCATGAAAAATTAGCACCAGACATCATTGCCGACGCGTTAAAATATATCCTTAATAAAAGTCTCAAAAATGTTCTAAATTACCTTGAAAAACTTATTCGGCGAATCGTTCTTCCGTGGCATCAGAAATCAATAGCGATAAAATACCTGTCATTTTTTACAGTGACAACTCTGAATCAGACTCATAAAATGTCTATAATATAGGCATTGTAATTGCATACCTTTTTATGAATGATTTTGTCGCCCTATGCACGTCAGAGACAGAGAATTTTTACGGTGAGAAGTTCAAAAGATATAACGCGCATGCGCCTCTGCTCTTATATCGCGACCTTAAAACAGCAGGATACTTAAAAATAGTTTATATTGCATAGTAATCTATGATAGTAGCAACAGTGACTTTTTTTCACGTGCACAACGTGGAAAAAATCGAGAATACTAAACATGAAACCATAGAAATATGTGTCTCAGAATGGACAAATTAAAAAAAAATATAAATTTATGAAGCAGAAAAATATTCAGTCGATATCACTGGAATTACATTGGGCACTAGAATAACAATTCCTCGTGATAAGAGAAAGTAGAAAAAAACACATAACACAGAAATATCATTTTTACATAGTTTTGAAACCAGGCGTGGTGATGGTGAAATTTAATACAAATTTATGACGGTTTTAACACCTACACTTAATCTTTAACTGAGTTGTAGATAAATATTTAATTATTTAAGTAATAAAACACAGTCATTATTACCTGTTCCTTTTAAATCTTTGGCACCACAAACTATAAGATTTGAGGAAAAAAAATCTGACTTAATCTACAACTTTTCAAAATACATAGTTTGCAATTAAGGTATTGATTAATTTGATGCATCATATTAGTATTAATTGATTATTTTGATGGATCATGTTCATAATAATTAAATAATTTAATGCATCATATTAATACTGATTAATTAATCACTATTATACTGATTACTTAATTAATTAAATAATACTGATTAAATTGATGCATTAACGTTACAATTCACAATGGGATATCAAAACGAAAGTTAAATGTTGGCATTAAGTACTGTCGGTTTCCCTATAGATTACCGCCAACAGTAGCGGTTTATAATAAGGTTAATTAACCGTGTTTGTTGTTGGGGCTGGAAAGCGTAGCTATACAATTTCTGAACTCATTAAAACATAAACTATTACCACGAAGCTTTGCATTTTCCAGCTCAGCTATTTCAGTGTAAACGGCCCGCTTGTAATAGGCTTCACGCAAATTAAACTGGTCTTGATTAACACTAATTAGATTGTATTAGATCGGAATGTTTGTAGTAAATTGTGCTTATATTAAACGCCTCTTAAGCCGCCCTGAAAAGAAGCAATGCAAAATATGCGCGTACGATTTCGACATAACCCGTGTGAGGAGTTTAAAATTTATTTATTTAATTTAATCGCTGCATTTAATTATTTATTGCTGCTAAAATTCAATAGATATTATGGGAGATTAGTATTACGACAGAGCTGCGATAGTATTATTCGAAAGGTACGATAGGTAGACACTTCTGCATGGCAGTATTGTGCAGTGTGAATGATTAGGTAAATGAGTGAGATCTCTTGGCCGAATGGAGTGTCACTGTTCGCTCTCACGTAAGTCATCTTTATCCATTTTGGCCCGAGAAAAGTGCGTATCGATTCTACGTTCGCCCCGCCCTTCGCAATTATGCTGTGATTTAAAAAATGTCTCTAATTTGACAATGTGACCCTCCATTCATCTGAGTACGAGAGCTTCGCTCATTCATCCAAACGCGCAAATTTTACGCGCACAGAAAACGCGATAGAAACGCGCAAAATTTTCAAAGATGTTGCAGATTTTTGGAGTTGAAGTTGGACCTTCAACATTTAATGAATTAAGAAGATGATTATTCAATATTTATTTGAATTAAGAAGATGATTAAGTTGAGCTAATCGAGAATGGATTGCTCCCAGGAGAATAGTACGGTTGACTACAATCTATAGTCGTTACAACACGTTTGGCTGCAAGCAGATTTACTAATAAACTGCTACAGAGTACTCTGAAAAATTGCCTTTTATCAAATTCAAAAATTATGCCATAAAGACGAATATCGAAATTTGTATAAACAATTATAATTCACCTTCTGTAGTAGACGGTTATATATAAGAAACGTCGGTGTTAAGTAACGAATTGGGCAATAAAATCGAGCCCCATTCACATGATAATCAATGCCATATAATGCCTGAAAATCACATAGCGCAGCAGAGTCGATGTCGTCATTATTAAGGTCGGAAGAAAACAAACGTGATCATTTAATAATAGCAATAAAACTAAGGGTTAGGTAATGAGAGATTAGGTTATTATGGGTACGGAAAGTTAGGGTAAGGTAATTATGGACAAAGAATTAAGTCTGGTAATTAATTTTACTTTAATGAAATTTGGAGGACGATAAAAAAGACACCGCTATTGATCTATTAGAAATGAAGAGCAAATATAAAATACGATTCCGGCAGACCATTTTGCTGCGGAGGTAAATTTTTTTGTCAATTGAATGCTGCGTGCAGTAAATTGACCATAATTATAGACAGAGGCACGAGTCAAGAAAACATTTTGACTGTGAAGCTTAGCGTTAAAGGTTTGAAGGCATTGTCGGTCGAGTATTTTGATATTTCTGTGCTACAAATGGGGTAAAAATACCCGACTACAATGGTTTGATTTTAATTCATATTGTTTACATTTGTTCTGTGATTGAGTAGGTAGATTTCGGTAGGTAGAATATTCAGTTCCGCTCGATTTTTAGGAGCCGGTATTGCCTGCATAGTTAATGCTGTTCTATGCTCTGTTGCAGACTGATAACATGGCACCTGGTTTTATTTTTATTAGATATTGTGTTGATATTTAAAATCACTTTAAAAGACCGAAATTTATATATTAGAAGATACGCAGATAATATAATTTCATTCTGAATTACATGCTAGAAGCTAACCGTCCCTGATGTCTTTGAAAGAAAATGTATGTTTTCAAACTATAGTCCCCATTAGCACTTGAGTAATTTATTTTTTATATCAGACATTTAGGTATTAAAAAAATATGTAGCAATTACATTTCATTTATTCTCACTTTACATATTCGACACAAATAGATAAGACATATTTCCACAACTATTAACTCTATCTAAGCTGGTGCTGTTTCAGCCCTTCCAGGCCAAATAAACTTCATAATTAAAGAATTCTTGCTGTACTGCGTCGCCGGCCAGAACTTCAGGGCTGCGGTGGCCGCTCTTTGCTCTGCCTCCAGGGACTCCAGGTGAAGTAATTAATGTTGCTCTCAATAAACAAAAAATAATAATAATAATAAGTGATACTTTGTCTAAATGGTGATGCATTTTTTTTATTCGCGTGGGTAATCCTGATCCAGTTTGGCATAGAAAAAGTGCTATGTCCGGTAACTGCTCGTGCTGTGGATGAGAAAGTATGTCATTATTTAGACAATATAACACATTTCTTTTCTTGCGTTCAGGGTAATTTAGAGAGTATTTAATCAATTTTTCCTGATATTAACACTCGAAGGCGAATTCCGCACCAATTCATGGAAAATTTTTTATTGTATATGAAGCGATTTTTGATAATCATGTAAACTCGGCTTCAAGAAAATTTCTTCCTTTCGAAAAATATAGCTAGATATTTCGTATCGCTCCTTCGAGCTAGAAAAGTTGCCTAAATAAGTAATCAAAAAAATATGCTCTATGATTTTTACCTGCACTTTTGTCAATCGGTTTTCATTAACAATGTATGAATAACATTATAACACATTATTCAGATATTACATTACAGATATATCTGTAATAGATATATTATATTACATTACAACCTACAGATATTACATATAGATATTACACATTATATAACATTATTCAGATATTGTTATTATTTTAATGTTTATCGCTGCAGCCAAGCCAGCGTGTCTGTGCCACCTCGAGCCCCCACCACAGCCTGCCCTCGCTCTGCCCCTCACACTTCCCTCGCTACCCTCACTTCCAACCCTAAGAGGGACCTCACACCCACCACCAGCGGTGGGTGGTGTGGGTGGTGTGATGTGGTGGTGTGGTGTGGTGGTGGTGTGGTGTGGTGTGGTGTGGTGTGGTGTGGTGTGGTGGTGTGGTGTGATGTAATGGATGGTGTGGGTGTGACACCCACCACCAGCAGTGGGTGGTGTGTGGTATTAGTGTGATGGGTTGTGGAGGTGTTTGAGGTGGTTTGGGTGTGGTGAAAAGGACGTGTGATGAGAGAGTTGTTGTGGTGAAGTCATCACAGCCTGGTGTGCGTTCGAGGGTGCATGTCATTTGATGATGAGTTCGTGATGGTGAATTTGTAATCACGATGATGAGTTAATGATGGTGCGTGTTGCTAATGATCTGGTAGATTGTGTTGGAGGTTTGCTTCGCCTTAATATTCTTCAATATGGATGATATTGATTACAATTATCTTTACGCCGTACAAAAGTGGATAAACTTCAGGATAAAAATGATATAACATTTACGAGAGTTCCGATCGTGTTTCTGTGCTATACAATTTGCGACTCGCGCGGCAAGTAAAGTTCATAATGCATTACTTCCATTCGTTCATACCATTCATTCCGCACGTTTCGTATCTCACAATCTCAAGATTAACCAACCTTGCCTCATAAATTTTCTCGGGGACATGGAATGCATTGTGAGGCGTCGCTTTACTGGCAGACCTATCCCAGAGGCAGCTGACAGGCCTATCTCACTCGCGAGCTCTGGAAAATTTACGAGTCGTATTGTCCAAATAGTGACATACTTCTTGTCAAACTGAGTCAGGATGATCTTCCACAAGAGCAAAAAGTACATCGATATTTGGACAAGTTTCACTCATTTCTTTGAGTGTGACGCCAGCAGCCGTCCTGGAGGTCGTTAGTCTTCAGTGCGCTGCGAAGTTTAAAATTTAAGAGCCACTCTGGTATTTATACAAAGAATTCATGACATAAACTGGGGCCATTCTTTTCCTGCTAAAGCGTATAATGCGTTACACTAAGGAGTTCATGAGTTAATTTAAGTTATTTAAGAAAAAAGTTGCTCGAACTCCAAATAAAAAAAATGTAGGCATACAATTTTTCAAGTTTATTGGTCTAGTGTAATATAAAATAAAGTTATTGTTACACCTGCAACAATGAAAACCGGCCTAAGTTCAATTTCACTGGTAATCATATCATAACATTGTGATGTCGGCGCTGAAGAGTAGGCCTGATGTGGCCTGTCGCCGATTCTCGTACTTTTCGTGACTTGTTCACAAAAGATCTAATTAATTATGCGATTAAAAATTAATATTAAAGACAACACTTCTAAAGAATCCAGTGTCTCTGATCCAATTTTTTTAATATTAAATAAAAATGTTTAATTTTTCAAATTATTTATTCTGTCAATTGATTCAAGCATTGTCTCCAATTTTATGCAAATGTGCAAAATTTCATATCGATTGGTAAGATAGAAGTGTGTTAAATATTGATTATAAGATTTGTAGGGGTCGCCTGCCGAAGACCACCACTGCCCTGGATGTAATGGACCATCATGATTCCTGCCTTCCGGAACGTAGCCTTCAGCACTTCAAGCCGTCCGTATCTGGGCCGTGGGTCGAACCAGCCCTCGGTCGAACGGCCTTGTGTCGAAGGACGATAAATTTTGGAACTGAACTATGCTATCTGAAACCTAACCTCAGATGCGGTGAACGTAAAATTACGTAATTTAACGATGTAGTTGCTTTACAGTTTACAGCCTGTCAAAAGTTTACAGTCTTCATTTTCTAAAAAAAATATAACTCAGTACTCACTGCAGTGAGTGACAGAGAGCGCATTTTCTCGTCGACGAAAACGTGGTAACGGACGGACAGACGGACAGACAGACAGACGGACATAGCCAGCACAATAGAGCATTTTTTCCATAAATGAGAAAATGCGCTAAAAAGTAAAAAAATAGTCCTAAGTAAAGGACTAATTGAAACGTATAATACTGCCTCCTTCGTTATTATATAGCGCGGAATATACCGTATCTTTTTAGCGCATTTTCTTATATATGGAAAAAAAGGCGCTATGGTGCTCGTCATGTCCGTCTGTCTGTCCGTCTGCTTGTCCGTCTGTACGTCCGTCCGTGATTCCACGTTTTCGTCGACTAGAAAATGCGCTCTCTGTCACTCACTGCAGTGAGAACTGAGTAATATTTTTTTTCGTTGTATTGTATCTTTCATATGCGCTTCTATCGGAGAAGTTTATGCACAACTTCGGAGACGCAGAGCTGTACAGTCGGCGGCCACCAATCGTAATTGTACCCTATTTGTGCGTCTTAAATTCCAGACTGTATTTAATATCAAAGCAGCGTAATTTCGAGGGTTTTATTGGTCGTCTGTCAATGAAATTATAAGGATTCCCGCCTTGGCATAATGAGGTAGTGTACACACATTTTACGAGTTCCATACTGTAATTTTTAGCTGACAGCGGGATTTAAAGTTCAACTATCAACTGCACGATGAAAATTACAATCACGTATTATAAATGCAAAGGTAACTTGGGTAAGGCACAATAAAGTACCACCTGCATTCAACTGCATCTAAAATTGACGACAGTATTTCAGTAAACACGGAACTAATTTTGTCCTACGAGATAATAGATGATCGATCGATGATGAACTTCATGATACTTTAATATGTTTTACGTGGACATTAAACGCCTGGTCATCACGCACACATTTCTTGTCAAATGTTCATGTTTTCGGCTCTGAAGGTTGTATAAACGATCTTTTTCATCGTTATTTATGCTGGAGTACGCGAGCAATCCACTGGGAAATTAAAATGTTCGATAATGTAACATAAAAAATTACTTAGAGTCCTTCCGACTGCAGCACACATCACTATTTGAGAATTTTATGAGGTCATTACCCGGCACATGCAATGCGTGCATCATACTTTTCTGATACATTACCGTGAGTGAGTTTATAATAATATTTTCGACTCTAATTACAACAATACCAACAAATGAAATTATCTGTAATTATTAAGAAATAATTATTAAGCGTCCCTAATTCATTAGTACGTCGTATAAGGGCTGGGTCACAATACAATATGGGATAGCAGTGTCGGTTAGTCCAACTTTTCAATCACTAACCGTCATTATTTACAGTGATATTAGCCTCATGTATAGGCGCAACTGCATCAGAAGTAGCCACTAACCCAATACACGAGACCGGTATCACAATAATTAGTTGAATTTAGCATTTTAAAGTGGAACTGGTCGCTAGTCATTTAATATTATAATATTAAATAATAATAGTAACAAAATTCATTGAATTCAAAACATTAATTGTAGAAATTTTCTTCGAAATGAGGCGATGCTAAACTCTCGTCACTACAATAATGATTACGCGAAGTCTTCATTAATTATGTAATTTGCATTTTTTCTAGAAATTTGCAATTCTTTACAGTCAGGTAAATTTTTTAACTGAGAAAAATATATATTAATCATGATATTGTTTCAAAAGAAGATACTTAGTTAAATTTCATGCTTATTCTTAAATTTATTAAGATATGAAAAAAATTCTTTTAAATGTAAGCACTACGATTTATTGATAGTCAAAATGTTCAGGCAATTATAGTCAATGGAAAAATATGAACACAATATATGCATGCATACAGTGGAAACTCTGAATTAACAATAATAAAAATAAATTATATTTGATTATTGATTAAAACAATGATTTAAAAGTTATTGCTTTAAATACAATGACTGATTATTTGACAAACGAGGAATTAAATTTGATCGCAAATCAATAATGATTAGTTGTGGTGGTGTTTGTAAATTTTTTGCCTAGGAGTGCTAATTGATGCTATAATGATCAACCTAATTCGATTTATACGATTATCAAAGAATTATACGGTTGTTCATATTTAACAATTTTTATGTTTCTCTGCATGACGGCTGTAAAGATAAAGCCATGTTAGACGCTTGTCACCAGTTGACAAGGCTATAAGGTTACATTATTTTGCGTTGACTTCTGTTTTACTTTACGTTGAATCTATTCTTGCTTCACGCTGACTCCTTTCTTATCTTACGTTGTTGACTATTATCTTTTCTTACGTTGTTAACTCTTATCTTACATTGTTGACTCATATCTTATCTTACGTTGTTGACTCTTATCTTATCTTACGTTGTTGACTCCTATCTTTTCTTACGTTGTTAACTCTTATCTTACATTGTTGAATCCTATCTTATCATACATTGTTGACTCATATCTTATCTTACGTTGTTGACTCTTATCTTATCTTACGTTGTTGACTCCTATCTTATCTTACGTTGTTGACTCTTATCTTATCTTACGTTGTTGACTCATATCTTATCTTACGTTATTGACTCTTATCTTATTTTACGTTATTTTCTCTTAAAATATTTCACGAAGGAAGCTCGCGTAGTAATTAAGAAATGAGCAAGCAATCAGTTTCAAATTCTTCGAAAGCTAAAATCGGTATTAAAAACTGAAAAGATCTCACACCTATATATATTTGAATTTTTTTTTCTAGCAAAAATTTAATTATGCATGACATCAGGTTTTTGAAATGAAAATATAAACAAATAATTGATCATTCTTCATTTTTAACATCCCAAAAGGAATATATCATTTCATGGCTCATCAGAGTGGTGAGTTTATTTGAACAAAGGTATATTTAAATGCAATTAATTTAAATCCTTTCAATCTCAGCTACCAAGCTAGAATGATGTTACAAAAACGCTTCAATAAATCCTCATCATTTTAATTTTATTGCATGCCATCAGCCTTTCCTAGCAATGGCCTAACCACGAACCTGATCCTCGTCAACCTGACTTCAGCCCCTCGGGGCTGAAGTCAAAACCAGAAGCAAATTGTCATTGTTGGAGACCGTATTCTCTCTATTATTATTCTGTCTAATATTCACTAGCCGAATCGAGTTACGTCATGTGCCTGGAATGCTTAAATTGGTAACGAAAATCATGGAAAGTGCAATTTATAGAAAAAACTTTAATTCGTAAAGT